GCATCCTGCCGGCCGACTCGACGAGTATCGAGCGCGAGCGTGGAAACGCGCCACTTCCGCGGGAACGACGCGAGCATGGCGGCGACGCATTCGCATGTCGAATGCGTGCTGCTCGTGTCGTTGCGTTACGCGTGTGAGGACCGGAGGACAACGACGACGGCGCGCTGATCTCGCCGAGGAATCGCGCGCGCCGGCCATGATAATTACGGGTAAGCACGGTGCTGATGATCGATGCCGTGCGGCCCCGTTACACGCGCGCGTTTTATCACGCAAGACCGCGCCGTCGCCGCGCGCGTACCTGCGTTGCGCGCGCGCCCTTTTTTTTATTCTCTCCTCTCCAGGACGACGACGACGACGACGACGGCGCTCGAGCTGATCCATACAAGGCAACGGCGGCAGGACCGGTAGGCTACACCTCGTCGCCGTCGCCCTCGTCATCGTCGTCGTCGTCGTCGTCGTCGTTGATCGCGCCTTCTCTCGCCCGCGAGCGCGGCCGGCCGCAAGAAGGACACGTAATATCAAACGTCGATGTGTCTTTCGCGCTGAATGCAAGAGCACTTGACCCGGTCGGCCGTGATGTAACTTCTATCGCTCGCTGTAATAAGTCGACAGCACGAACGAAATGTCGTCCGTGCTCGTCGCGCGCTGCGCAACGGTGTAACGAGACCCGTCGATATATCGAGACGTGTACGTGAAGTGTTCGGGGTGTAGGAGGAGGGTTCATAGGCAATTTGACATTACGCGAGAGTCTCACGCATTATGACCTCAGACTTGTATGCCGTGTATCGTTCGCAGTATGTAGGAAAAGAGAATCGATTAGATCGAGTAGACTCGGAAAATAAGAAATTAATAATGGCCTGAGAAAAAAATGAGACGAGACGATTCGCGATGTAAGAACGATCCTTCTAACGGGCGAAAGAAGTAAGTTGGGATATATGATGTAATAATGACTTAGAGAGAGAGAGAGAGAGAGAGAGAGAGACACACACACACACACACACACACACACACACACACACACACACACACACACACACACACACACACACACATCGTATCAACGAGGGATAAGCAAGAAGAAATCGCGTGACTCGAATCATTCGATGTGTAAGTGATAATTCTGAATGAGCAGAATGCTGATGCGATTAATTACATTATATGCATGAATGCTTGAGATGAGTAGCGTGATAATAGTAGTAGTAGTAGTTACATAAACAGGCCACATTCTGCTCGTTCATTAATTAACCGCGCCGGCTTGTGGGCCACTGGGCGTGTACGTGTCCGTGAGTCACTCGACTATCGACTTTCCCCTACGACAGGTTGGGGTAGCCAGGATCAGTATAAGATGAGCGCTGAGCTAAGGGTGGAGTGGACTATGCTGAAGTTAACCACCTGCCTACCGACGTTTTAGCAATCTCCTTTAATGAGCAGGGCGTAATTTGTCTCGTCTCCCGTATGGCGCGCGTATCTCTTAGAAAAGATACTCTAACTTAATTTTACGCTTCATGAATATTCATGGATTTAATATACATTTGCTGAAAATGTTGCAAACTCCTTGCAAGCGTCGGCACTAAACTTGACAAAGCAATATTGACTAACTTGAAAAAAAGTATTAATGGATATTGATCGTTAATAAAAAAAAAAAAAAAAAAAATAGAATAGGTAATCGTCTCCCGCATGGCACGCGTCTCTATTAAAAGATGCTATAACTTAATTTTACGCTTCATGAATATTCATGGATTTAATATACATTTGCTGAAGATGTTATATGAAAATGTTAATGTGGGTCGAGAATGTTGATCTGAAAAGTCGAAATTCTACTTAGACAATTTTACGCGTGTGTATTAACGCCGATACTGAAATTGATAAAGCAACATTGACTAATCTGAAAAAAAGAATAGATATTGATCGTTAATAAAAAAAAGAAAGAACAGGTAAATCACACATCTCGTCTCGATATTTCTCGCAGAACTGTACACCTCTTCTACCCGAGTACTTTGTATGCACTTCCTACTTGCAAACGTGCATGTCTCTAACTGAATGATTAGAAGAAACACGCATACGGTTGACGTTGATCGTTTTTAACGAACCGTTAGACCCTATCTAAGCACACGTAAACGCTATGCACAACAGTTGAATGATACATTGAGAATCTTTACCTCGTTTCAAACAAAATTGTCATACGCAAATGCATATTGTAATGCATATTGAAATGTAAAACAGCACAGCATTAAATGTTCTTGAAATTAGTCGCAAGTAATTGATGATCAAAAACGTTGAGGACGCCCGATTAAAATTGCATGTCAAGTAAAAGACGCGATATTAACGCGAGAGATCTCTCGAATTTCAGAATTTAAATCGAAGAATACCTCACATTTGATTGTTTCCTTCCCACACACGACACACATTATCGACGACACACAGTGTCTTCAGCGTTAGCGGTATAAATCGCGAAATTCCGAATTATTCACGGACCGCAGTCCTTTGTACTATTCGCGGGCGGACGTACTTACGGTATTTATGTAATCACGCGTATGTAAGCGTCATGTACTCGTCGTATATAATAAGTCCTCTTAACAGGATTTGTATTTAACGCGTTTTTGAGGAGGCGTTACATACAGCGCGCCAACGCATCTTACGTGGAAACGAGACAGCCGCTGTTAAGGTAATGTAATGTCACATGAACGTAACCGTGGACGAATACGGTACTGTTTCGCAAAGACTTCGCATCTCGACGTCCGCGAAAATCTTTTCGCGAAGCATTTCCACCCCTTTAAATCGCTCGTAATTGCGACACGATATATAACTTCACCGAATTAGCCAAGTATTACAAGTACAATATTATGAGTACAAATATTATAAGTACAATATAATATTCTAGAGATTGCGAAATTATGTATCTTAAATTTGATAATATGATCGGCTTGTTTGCCTATCAAACATGACGTATTAGCGAAATATTAATTATATCATCAATACATCACCACGTTGATTTAGTACGTTTTCTATAAATTTGAGATACAAGCTGCTAATAAACTTGAAATATCAAAACAATATCTCAAAAGCATAGAGATACCAGAATAAGAAGAGAGCAAGATAAGCGAAATAGAATAGAAAGGAGAAACGAAAGGACCAATCCAAAAACGTCTAGATTCTTTCAATTGCCAAAATTTTGGCTCTTGACGGTCAGGGCAAATTTTAAAATACAAAGTCCACTTGGAGCATATGATTTATAATTCGCCACAGAATTCGAAACGAAATTCTGTTAAGCATTTCATGCTCTCCACATATTAGCGAAAAGCGAAGACGTATATGTCCGTGATTATCCGAGCGCTTTCTTTCAAACAGAATCCTGCCTCGAATTCCGACGCGAAAGTATAAATCACCCAAAGAGCGCGCGCGCCAAAGCAGACCGATATAGAGACGACTGAATTAACCTTTGACAAATGTCTTATTCATCTCTTGGAGAAGGTCGGCGATATCGACATTGCACGACGAGCATCGCCGCCGCCGCCGCCGTTGCCGCTCGCCGAGAGCATTCGCATCTGCAGTCGTGCAGCTTGCCGCCACCGACCACGCCTGCGAATCGATATGCTGCAGACGCGCGTACTTCGCCCGAGATACACGCCCGGAAATCTCGTAACGAGCCGTCGGACCGCTGTGTAACAAGCGGCGCGGCCATTTCTCCCGCTGATCTCGCAGTTTCGGGGAAAAGCGCGCCGGCACCCCGCCGGTGTTTTTTTACTTACCTCGTACCTCTGTATTGACCATTCGCATCCGATCGAACGATTCGCCTCCTTGCTTTGTACCAAAATGACCTCTCTGCGGCACAACCCAACCTCACCCGCATCTACGAGACTACCCCGGCCAGGACCGTTGACCCTTCTGATATTTAGGGCGTTCGCCCGGGGCGCCGGAATTTTTCGAGCAACGCTCGAAACGGATCATTATGCTAATGCGATGACTCGGCTCGTAAATCATAACGTCAATTCTGAAAATTTCCCGGGCAAACTTGTCCACCTCGCAGTCACGCAGTGAATATTCGCATCGTGTTGTAGAAATTTTACAAGTGCACGATGTACGATTGATTCTGAAAATATTTCAGTCCAGTGTGTTGCGAGTTCGAAATAATAACTCCTCCATGTCAGTAACATCTCCATGTCACGTCTCGCTACGTTAATCATGCGCGCACATTAAATTGTTCCTTTATTAAACATTTCATTGGAGCTTACGCCGATCGAAGCGGCGTGCAAGCAACTCGAGCGACTCTCCAGAGCGATGGAATACTTTGTACCCGCGGAGGCGTAACGTTCGAAATGGCCACGTATGCAGAGCTAATTAATATTCACCATCTAGACATTAGGGAAATTGGAAAATATCTGCTTGTCGCCTACCGCGGCGCTACCTTTTGCACCTCTCACTCGTCAAGAGAGCGAGTCGTACGTTCCCTACTCAATAGCTGCAGCACAGCAAATCATTACGAGGCAACAGAAAGGACGGCACACGATAGAAGTGCAATTTCCACTCCCGTCCCGTCCTGTCCAACCGTTACGACGGAAGTCGTAAGGCACATCCGGCAATATGTAGCCAGCGCATTAACGCTACGACGATATCATACATTGCAGCAACATCGCATTTCGCCGGGCAGCGAGCGTACGAGAAGCTCAGCGACTCTCGTACGGGGCACTGGGCGACATCAGACCGAGCCTGATGCGACGAGAAGTACGTCGTAGTGGTTCCTCTTGAATTTCGACGAATCGTAGCCGTTTCGGCGATGCGGAGCGCCCGCAGGAGCGTCTCCGCACCCGCCCGGCGTCGAACGATCCCATCGCGGCCGCGCGCGCAGTTGGCAACGCTGCAGCCGTCGCGGCTGCCGCGCGAATATCGGTGTAGTAGTGCGGCGCAGGGGGGAGCGGATCGACCAATCGGACGGGTGGTACGCGCGGGCCCTCCCCGCGCGCCCCCGTGGTCACCTCAGGGAGACTTGAAAATCTGTAACGGACACGGCAACCGGCGCATACTCGTCTCTGCTCGCGACGCGCTAGTCCACGTTCGTCGTCGTTCGCTGGTTCGGTAGCAATCGCTGCAGTCGCCGTCGCAGTACACAAGAACACTCTTTCGAGGAGTTGATCGACAAAGTTCGCACGAGCAACCATGAGGGAAATCGTCCATATCCAAGCCGGCCAGTGCGGCAACCAAATTGGAGCGAAGGTAGGTAGAAACACCGCCGTCCAAGTAGGAGACCGAGGCGCGATCGAACGGCCCGATGCCGCGTGTCGTGCGTTCCTTTGTTCCGCGAGGTAGTGTTCCAGCGTCGACTTGCCCGGGTTTCGGGGATTCTAATGCCAGGTTACCACGTCGACTGCTCGTACGTCCACCGGAAATCACGCGATACGATCTCGTCGACGAGAATTGCGCCGACAATCGCGGCTGGGATGGTCTCCACTTGGAATGGCCGGGTACACGGACCCGCGCCATTTTTCTCGTTGACCGATGGTACTCTCCGCTCTCGGGAGGAGCTCATGTCGCCTCTCGAGACGATCTTCAACGGCGCGCGAAAAGTCTCGCGTTCGCTCGGCGCTGGTATGCGAAAAAACGACGATGCCTCGCCCGCGCGCACGGTCGAAGACCTGTCATGGCGACAAGAGCTCGCCGGCCGGCCGGCCGGCGCGAGCGGAGAGGAGCCAAGCGGAGTCTAACGGTTTTTTTGTTCCCCCTGTTCTTTTCTTGCATCGTGCCACCGCGTTCCGGGACGAGGCGTCGTCGTTGCTGCCTGCGCGTCGGCCATCTTTTCTGCGGTGCATCTCTATGCTCTATATGCACATTGCTCTATGTTCATCATGAATCATTGTCCCGGCGAGACGTCGCGCTTTTACCGTGCGAAGCATCTTGGTCTCAAAAGTTCTCGGTTCTAGGTATCATTGTATAGTCTACGTTGGTCTCTGGGTGTGGCATACCTCTCGGTGACGTGAGAATCACCGCGTAAAGCGGCGACATCGACCGCTTGCGCGCGCATCTCTTCCTCACGCTCTCTCTCTCTCTCTCTCTCTCTCTCTCTCTCTCTCTCTCTCTCTCTCTCTCTCTCTCTCTCTCTCTCTCTCTCTCTCTCTCTCTCTCTCTCTCCCTCCCCCCCATCCCCCTCTTGTCCTCTTTCCTCTCTCCTTCACTTTTTCTGACTCATTGAAAATCTTTTGAGCGTCGATTTCCCGACGCTAGGTACTACGCTAAACTTTTGGCATCTATATTCGCTGGTGAAATTATGCATAAAAGAATTCAGAAAATTATGCAACCTATATTTTTTAGATTATATTTCAGTAGAATACACAATAGCATGCGTCACTCTTTTTTTTTTTTAACATTTGACATAGTTTTATGTTCTTGCGAAATTACACGACACAAGCCGTTTTCCCTCGTCTGTCTCCTTTTATACCTCCCCTTCTGTCGCATTCCTACTGACGTTATTGTTAAGGTAGATACACACGGAACGAACGAGCAGCGAATGCAGTTCGTTGCGTTTCGGAACACGTTCAATTCACATTTATTCAATCGGTGTGCACACGCTTTGTGATAGATGAAATTCCTTCGCTGCGTCTGTCGACCGTGTGGCGTTGTGGTCGCGCTAACGGCTACGCGTCGTTGAGCGAGCGTATTTTTAAATTTTTATATGACGCTCGCGCTAACGGACGGCCAGTGACATGTGCGGCTGTGCGTTATCGTGAGTCCAGATATGCTTCAATGGTCGATTTCTCGTTGATCATGCCAGTCGGACTTTTTTGGCTGACACGTGTACTGTTGTCTTTGTCGAATTGTACTTTTTGCCGATTTGTTAAAGATATCAAGTCAAGCGTCACTGACGTTTATCTTTATCACTTGATCACTCTTGATCACTTGATATCATTGGATTTTTATAATATCATGAGCAAAATTTTTCCCCCGAAGAAGAAAGCTCGTGAACCAACATATTGACGTTCTATATTTCGTTCCTTCGTTTTATCGTAAAATAAAGAGTAAAAAAATTTTTTGTACTCGTGCTGAAAGATTTCTTATGAGAGTGGTAAAGATCGAGAAGTTTGCCGACGTCCGTCGTCACGCTTCTATGATTTTTAAGGCTGCTGCACTAAGTCAATGTCCGTTCGCCGAGTTGTCTATCTCAATCGATCCAGCATCATGCTTGCTTGATATTAAAGGTTATTTTTTGTTTCCTCTTTTTTGTAAGATATTTATTGCACCTGTAATGATGAAAGAGAAGTTTCATCAATAAATTATCTAACAATTTTGTAACTACATATATAACTAATACGCTATTCTATTTTTACTTAATCTAAAAATTGTCACTATGTGATAAATTTAACGATAAGCGAATCACATCGTCAAAAAATTATAATCTGATAAGTATAATGAAAAATTGCTAAAATGCGCTAGAACAGTAACGTATCATGAGAAATTTTTACAACTTCTGAGCTAAAAGACCACATATTGGTAAAGGTACAAAATTATTAAATTAAAATTATTTTATCGTCGAAATTTTCTCAGTATCTTACGCAATTATTTTTTTTTCACTATGAAATAAAATAAAAAATTTTTTAAGAAATACGCGCTTTTTCTGAATAAAAATACGTTCTATAAAGGTAAGAACCGTAATGTAAGCTACGTATTACTCGGTGACGACGACAGTGCTCGTTGTGTAACTATTACGAATGCCCATTCAGTGACGCCTTCGAGTCCAAGGACATCGAGTCCGCGTAGCGCGGCAACGCGCTCCCAAATAAAGGAAGACGGCGATATCCTCTCTCGCCATTTTTCTCCGCATCACCTCGGCCCGTTTCGAACCGTTTCGCGTTGCCGACGAAGCGACCGACCCTCTCTCTGGATATAGCCAGGTGTATCGATCGTGTCGGGTCCGTAAGGCTGGGTACATCCATCGTCGCGACAATTATACCGTTTTCCTGCTTTCATCCTTGAAATTTCACTGCAGAATTTTCACCATTGTTACCAACAATAATGTTTCTATTAAAATAAATTTTAAATATATTTATCAATTACCCCAATTATATATTAATTTTGTATATAATTTTTAATATAATTTTATATATGATCTTTATATTATATATATATATATATATTTAATAAATTAAAATGTATATATCTTTTTTTATCACTGTCTCGTATGTGCGATATACTATGTCTTAATATAGTATCAAGACTCGGAATATTTTTTGTTCGGATAACGGGATTCTCTTAGATTCAAATGTTAAATAGAATTTAACGTTAACGTCGTTTCCGGATTTTCATCATACCAATCAATCATGATCACAATTTTTCTTGAACATCCGGTTTATCAGACGAGCGAGACTCGTCTTCCAGTAAATACAACCAGTTTATACAACCTCGTCCACGAAATCTAATGAACATTAGATACTACCATAATTACAAGAAGACATCGAATTTCCGTTTAGATGAGTCGCTAGATTAGCTATTAATAGCTTCTACAGCATATACATTTACATGAACCGAGTAAAGTTGTACAGTTTGAAATAGAGCTTGGAATAGAGATTTCTCTTATTCCAATCATTATGCTCTTTTTTGCTATGTTAATTATAACATGCTTCAACAGCGATGTTGGTACTCGTCACTCTTGTGACCTAACAGGATTTTACAGGACGCATATTTCGTAATAGAAAACTGATTCTAAATCAGTCTTTCTAACGCATTTCTCATTAATGAGATTGCCTTATCGCAACTAACAGCTCTTATCGGCACTTTGTGGTATAATTAAACGCTTAAGCCGTTTGAAACGTCGACAGATGAAAGTGGAACGATGAATACTTCGACCCAACATCCGTACATATGTACAACGTATTGACGGACTTGAAACTCCCTAAAAAAAAATTATTCGTTTCAGCAACCTGCTGATAGATCTTGATTGTCTAATCAGCGTGTTTACGACTCGCATTTCTAATCAGTTTAGATAGTCCACGATGACTCTCTTCTACCGTTGCCTGCTACACGCGCCTCCTTTATTTACCACAAATGACGGTCCATTAAAGCCAGCGGGATCCGCGATACGAGCTCGGTGGACCAATCTGTGTCCGCTCGGCGAGTTACGCAACGCTTAGAATGCAACATGTCGGCGTGCGCATTTAGAATAACGGTACGACCTTTCGCGCTTCTTCCGGCCTAACAACATCGGCCGCGTCGCTGGCTCCTGGTGCAAACCGCGAAATTAGTCGTGGAGCAGCGGCTCTGGGAGAAATCGGCGGAATTTAACGAGGGCAGGCAGAGCCATCGTCGTCGTCGCCGTCGCGATGCATAAACCGAGCGATCGTCGCTTATGCTAATTGCACGATCGTGTTGGTTTTACAGTCATCATCTCTATATATAGCGGTGACATTGGTGACTCATATCTGGCTATAACATATACATTGCGGTCAGACGAGATATATAGCGGTGGGGAGGGGGGGGGAAGAGGTAGATAGGGTTGGGCGATCTTAGCTTTCGAACGACGATGTTCATATATGGTCGTCGCTTAATACACCCATCGTTTCCATGTGGGACGTGCACGCGTAGCGAACGGTAGGCGGACTTTGACGGTTTTACACGCGGACTTTCACGCGGGTTGTATATGGAGCTCGGGATTATTCAATAATCGCCTGCCGCGGCAAAAAAGTTCGGCTGCACGGGAGAGTGCTCGCCGTCGCCGCACTGCGTACTTCTTACGTGTAGCTTTATCGCTTTCGAGCAGCGACCGCGCGCGACTCATGAATATTATACCTCCGTCGAGGAAACAAACGACAAGGTCCAAGTGAAAAGAAAATGTATTCTTAGTCGCGATATAACCCGGCTTTTCCTCGTCGGAATGGCTTCTCTCGCAACGAGTTAGACGGTTGAACAAGCGGACGATTGAAGTTGCAAATGAAAAACGAAACCGTTCTCCGATTGATCGGATTTATAATTGGACGAACAGATTGGGATCGGCGAACGTACTAATGGGACGTCTCCTTATCGCGGTATTTCAAAAGACTACGAACGATGTGCCAAGTGACGAGTATAAGTATCAGTACTTTGCCACACATTCTGGCGTCGAGAGCCGCGCGCGATCTCGGATCTACGGTAACACGTTTACACTTGAGTTATTAATGCGATACAATTACGTCGGTCTAGTGACACACTGTTTGCACACACTTTTGTGCTCGGAAATACACGCGTGTGTCGTATCTTGCACATCGATTTACAGAAATATACCGGCGCGGCGGGGGTCTTTGAACCGCATTCGCGAGATAAAGCGGAGATGCAACGGGGACTACTGTGCGCGGTACACCGGCAATTTCGTAATTAGCGTCCTCTTTTGTTTGCAAATACAGAGTTGCGTCAGTCACACCTAATCCTCCTGCGCTAATGGAGATCGCGCGCGAGAAAGTGTTCCTCGGCGCTTAGATCGACTTGATGCTGACGAGCCGTGCGGCTCATTAATGTCCGTGATGTCTTACCAATGCGGCTATAATTGATATCGAAATTGAAAACCGATTCTCGGACGATTAAAGTTCCTCGGCGCTTGATGTTGATGAGCCGTGCGGCTCATTAATGTCCGTGATGTCTTGCCAATGCGGCTATAATTGATATCGAAATTGAGAACAGATTCTCGGACGATTAAATCGACCGCTCAATCATCCGGGAAAGTTGAGCGTTCAATTGAGCGATCATGGGGCATCCCAGTCGCGGCGCTAATTTGGAAGACGTTCACGAGCGATTGACATTTCAGCTTGAATCGCCGATGATCGAGCGACTATCACGACGGTGAAACGTGCGCTTCCGGGAGATTACGTGGCGGCTGGCCTTCGCCTAGCATGCGCGATGCGCTTCGACGCGTCGATCGACCGGGCATCTCGAAACGAGAAACCGCGTCTATGATACGTGCTAATTGGTCTCGATTATCGCTCGGGCGATTCGGCTGTGCTCGAGAGGGTCAGGGCCGCTCGCTTCGATAAGCGCCAAAGGAAAAAAAGTAACATAATTCGATGTGCAGGCCGAGTATTACGATTAATTACACGCGAGCTATTCGCCACGAGGTCATTGAACCGGTTCCGTTCGCTCGATACAATGGAAGGCTGGAAACGGATGTGAAGGATAATTGCGGGGAGAAAGCCGGTGCGCGAGACTTACTTCCTTCGCTCGTGCACGCGCGCGCGCGCGCGTACGCTCGGATGATGCGAGAGAGTTGGAACGCGTATCTAATTTTTGTCGGCAACGCCGATTCGTTCCGGCACGGATAACACTTGCTGCTGCAAATCGGAGTGCACGACGCTCTTCTTTCAAACAGCAAGACTGTATCGCATTAAGTTTCGTAATTTCGATTTTACGAACATAACCGGTTTCGTCAGTTAATTATTATCTGTTTGCGAATCTGTTTGAGGTGACGACGTCAGATGGTAATGTGGAAATGTTTTTGCAGTTTTGGGAGATCATCAGCGATGAGCACGGCATCGACCCGACCGGCACTTACCATGGTGACTCCGACCTGCAACTGGAGAGAATCAACGTCTACTACAATGAGGCGTCGGGCGGCAAGTACGTGCCGCGTGCCATCCTCGTCGATCTGGAACCCGGCACTATGGACTCCGTACGCTCCGGACCGTTCGGACAAATCTTCAGACCGGATAACTTCGTGTTTGGGCAATCCGGCGCTGGCAACAACTGGGCGAAAGGCCACTACACCGAAGGTGCTGAACTTGTGGATTCTGTTCTCGACGTGGTGAGAAAGGAGGCCGAGAGCTGCGACTGCCTCCAAGGATTCCAGCTCACCCACTCTCTCGGTGGTGGTACCGGTTCCGGAATGGGCACCCTTCTGATCTCCAAGATCCGCGAGGAGTACCCCGACAGGATTATGAATACATATTCTGTCGTACCGTCACCCAAAGTATCCGACACTGTCGTCGAGCCATATAACGCCACGTTGTCTGTACATCAGCTCGTTGAAAATACTGATGAGACCTACTGTATCGATAATGAAGCCCTATACGACATCTGCTTCCGCACGTTGAAGCTATCGACACCAACGTACGGCGACCTGAACCACCTTGTCTCCCTGACGATGTCTGGTGTTACGACCTGTCTTAGGTTCCCCGGTCAGTTGAACGCTGACCTTAGGAAACTCGCGGTGAACATGGTACCTTTCCCTCGTCTGCACTTCTTTATGCCCGGTTTCGCACCTCTCACATCCCGTGGCAGCCAACAGTACAGAGCTCTCTCCGTGCCCGAGCTTACCCAGCAGATGTTCGACGCGAAGAACATGATGGCCGCGTGCGATCCCAGGCACGGCAGGTATCTCACAGTCGCTGCCATCTTCCGCGGCAGAATGTCAATGAAGGAGGTTGACGAGCAGATGCTCAACATTCAGAACAAGAACAGCTCATACTTCGTAGAATGGATCCCGAACAACGTGAAGACCGCCGTCTGCGACATTCCGCCACGTGGTCTTAAGATGTCTGCCACATTCATCGGCAACTCCACTGCCATTCAGGAGTTGTTCAAGCGTATCTCCGAGCAGTTCACCGCTATGTTCAGGAGAAAGGCTTTCCTCCATTGGTACACTGGCGAAGGCATGGACGAGATGGAGTTCACCGAGGCAGAGTCCAACATGAACGACCTGGTGTCGGAATATCAGCAATATCAGGAGGCTACCGCGGACGAGGATGCAGAATTCGACGAGGAGCAGGAAGCCGAGGTCGACGAGAATTAGAGAAGAAAACAGACAACACCCGACGGAAACTACCGTTGTATCTCTCTTCTATCGACCGAGCGATAACGCAACACGACACACCCTTCACCCAGCTTCTTAACTCTACGTTATCTCTCTTTTGTAACTATTTTTTACAGACTTCGGTCCCGAATTTTGTGGAGCGCGCGCGCTTTTTGTTGGCCTTCGCTATGATAATACCGCGCTTGGTGCGGTAAATTTGAAACATGATCTATTATTTTCATGTGTTTTTTCTATAGTATTCTTTACTTTCGATTACTTATTTCACGCGCGCCCTTACCATCCAATGTATAACCGCTCGTAAGCGGTCGCTCTATCCATATTTGAATAAATTATTATCATATAAATCATGTCGTCTCGCACTATCCCCTTATTATACGGACCTAGATTTCTTAGTGCTATTGAGTTTTGTACTTTCAGAGACTTCGTATATATTTATATTCGTCTGTTATATGCAGTTTTATATCATGGCAAATAGATGTGAATAAAAACTCATGAAGTATACGATTTGAGAGTATAATTGATCGCGGACATTCGGTCTCATTCAATACATAAGGCAAGAATTTTTCAAGTTAATCCAAGATAAATGGTGCATCGATCGCAAGAAGTATTTTGAATTAATAAAGCACATGATATTCGCGTCACGTTTATCAGGAGATATTACAAATAATTATTTAAGAATTGAATTGCTATTCAACAAAGAAGAAGCTATATGTGCGGTGTCGACTTACCAAATTTAATATCTGACAGATTAATTCAAACGTCAATTATAATACGATCTTAGACAAGAGGTCTCATGTTTGTTAATTTTTATAAATCTCATTGACTCGTTTTTCCTTTTTTCTATCAACGAATAAACCAGATGGCGCTGGAAACAAGCCTATAGACTGCCATAGACTTCGTTGATTCTCTCGCGCAGAACGCATTAACTGATATCTAGTTTTAAATTAGCAGTAAATTGAAAACACAAGCGTTCACTGATGCATCCATCGTATTCGATATGCTCTTTCAAGACCATTTTTACCAAGCTCCAGTTAAACTAACTGTTTCAACAACCTTGCAGACTTTCAACTGGAGCTGCTGTCTTGTACTCCTATTTTTTTATTTCTCGCAGCAGCTTCAGTTGGAATCCTGCAAAATTATTGGAACAGTTAATTTAACTGGAGCTTGGTAAAAGTAGCTTTAATCATGTTACCGATAGTTACCGATAGTTGCAGGGTAGCGCTTTACGATCTGTTATCAGTAGCTATAAAGCGGAAAGCGCCGACTGAATCTTACCGGCAGAAGTTACCTAGCACAGAGGAGATAGCTAATATTACCATCGTTTCATATTTCCGTTTCCTGCTCGGAGACCACACTATAAATCAGATAAAAATAACGCGAATGCCTAATTACTTCTTTAAAACCTTGTAACGTAATTCAGAGAAAAATAACCACAAGCAAATAAATTGTATGTACGCAATATACAATTGTCGCAGTGTTGAAGTCCAGTTTCATTACTTTTACTATCGCAAAGATCTCTCAGACAGTCGGAGAGCATAATGTTTAGCGCCCGCGTAATGACGTTGTAATATGACGCGTCTATGAAGGAATGTCGAGTGCATCGCTCTGGCTAACTCCGAGCTAACGGATTAATGAGATACAGTTAAACAGATCGGAATCAGATCGGCGCGGTGCGCGTTTCGGTCTCGGGCGATCAATACGTGCTTCGTCGAGCGAATGCATCGCTAAGAGCCGCATCATATTGTTGCATTTTGTGTCAGGACGGCCGGCCGGCCGGCATGCAAGAAACTCGAGTCGACACGTTCGAAATAACTGACCGCGTGTGACTTCGCACTTCCGGTTGAGAGACAGCGAAAGCCTTCTTCGCCACCTCTATACTCGAGATTATTGCCTTCCCTCCCGTTCCTTCAATTTCGCGCGATTAGCGTTCACGTTTGAACCGTATGATATTTTTCTCCTATCAGTGATCGTCTCGGAAATTCCCCGAAGCAATTCGACCGTTTTATACTAATGTAATGAAGGTTTTTATTCCTTGCGAGGATATAACTAGAGATGGTTTAATTAAGGCGGTAAAGAACACGCGGATGAGTACGTATTTAAATCTAAAGTCCATATTAGTAACAGTGATTGATTCCTCTCTCTTTTCATGAAACAAATTCCCGTGAGAAATTGAATTATCGAGCCAATATCCTCGCGAAAAAAAAGGTTAATAATACAAATATGGCGAAGTATAATAAATATTTCGGTCTGAATTTAGACCTTCTTCGGTGTAGCCTCTTGACGTACTCTGGAGTTAACAAAGTTTAGATTTAGAATGTTAGCACAATTGCGACCGTTATAACGGCCGATAAAGTGTGGCGACTGTTTGGCTTTGACGAGACTACCGGGATGCGGTTTTGGTCACTCGCCTTTGACAAAGCGCAGACAACGACCTGAGTACGGCAGATATGACTCATTGCTTAGCTATATGTCGACCGTCTCGCTTTACGAATTCGACCCATCGCCAGGCGCCGCACGCAATGATAAAATACATGTCGGCCATATAATTAGCTTATTAAAGAATAAAGCACAATATTCGTCCGTCTTGTCTGATTGCGTAGGATGCTCCTTTATGGCTGCGCTTTCCGATATTTCTGTACATGCATTGCGCGCATACACACACACACACACGCAATATTGAAATAATTTGCTAAAGATTCTCCTCTCTTTTTCCTGAAGAGAATATTCCATACGAGCAATTCCGTCCTCTTGCCCTCCTCCTCGTTGCGCTCTTGAACAATGCAGGCTTAATCTCTGGAGCATTGCAAGCGTATACGGGTCAATGTTAGATAAGAGATATGTGATAACTAATAGCTGTATAATAACCCTCAGACTCACGTAAAATACATAATACAAGCTACTTCCGCTCGGAAACAAGCCAGCGACGTGGCCAGGCGACGAAGTCCGCATTGGCCGCGATTCGACACCGCGAATTTCGTCGTTCGACTCGAGGTCGAATACTGTCCACGAGATCGAACTTTTTTTTTCGCGGAGTGTCGTATAAATGACCGCGCTCTCGTTCGTCGCGGATGTTGACGCGAGGCGAAGAGAGGACGTTACAATAATAGAAGGAAGCATTTTACAACAGCGGGAGATCTTGACGGAGGAGTTGGGCGCGCAGCTGGAGACAAACCGCGCGACTACACGGTCTCGATTATTATCGTTCTTAACGATAGCGACGACGACGCGAGGAAAACGGAATGTCGCTTCAAGAATGAGTCACGAGATAAAGAGTCTCAGCCCTTTACCCCGGGGCCGCTGTACTTTCGGAATCCTCCACGCGCGTCCAACCCGGTCTAAGAATTCGCAGTATGCAGTTGCACGAACTCGAACGTCTCGCAGCGAATTATTGCAATTTGAGACGATTAGCTATTATATCGAGGCTTTAATACGAATATTTATATGAAAAAGCATGTGAGATCTGTTTTAAGAGAAATACTCCCGATTAATTATTACCGGTTACGAAAAAATTTTGAACATAAATAAACTGAAAATGACCAGTTAAGTGAGATTTGGTAGACGTCCGTCTCATAAATCTGCAATATTGGACGAATTTCTCAAAAAAAAAAAAAAAAAAAAACTAAAGATATCTTTTTAATGAAGTTAAGTGAGCTTTGGTAGGCGTCTATTTCATAAATCTGCGCTATTGGACGAATTCCTAAAAAAAAAAAAAAAGACTGAAGATATCTTTTTAATGATTCTTGTAGCTATAGGCCAAGTGATAAAATTGTAAAATTACAACGAAGAAAATTACGTTAATCCCGTTTATTACATATTACGTTGCTCCGCAATTTAACACGTTGGCTGCAACCGCGACGGACATTAAGCAGCATGCATACGTTGCCCCAGAATTCATATGACCGAAACACTTCCGTTAAACGTGATACCTTCGCCTGCATTCAACCAGGAGGAAGCACTTTCCAAAAAAAGTCCCGTCTCTTGTTACAGTTCCGGTGAATGCACTGCAAGGTAATCCGATAGAAAATAATCGCGCCTCCGTATTGAATCATATTTTACTCCACACACACACACACACACACACACACACACACACACACACGCACGCATATAGAGCTCGCGATCAATTCACGATCTCCGTGAATCGATATGCGGTGGAGATAAATATTCGCCACTCGTAGAATTAATTTCGCATTCGCACACGACGTTGCCGATAAGAAGAGAAATGATGAAGAGAGCGGTGATGGTCAGGCTCTCTGGGATTTTTGCGCAAAAGAGAGAAAATGGACAAGAACCGCGCTTACTGGAAGCATACGCTCAAAGATACAATCATATCGCCTGCTCTTGCACCCCTTTCGGAAACACCCCGACGCAAAGACCAACCCTGTCGTTTTTCCTGCACGTTACCCTCGACTCGCTTATCGCCCATCCTCCTGGTCACCCACCCCGTCACCCTTCTCTCCGTCGCGACGACGGATTCCTCTCCCCTCCTGTCCGCCTCCTCTCCTAAGCCTACCCCATCGTCGTCCACCGAGGCCGCAGCTTCGAGCTTCCAGAGAGTAGAGCTCAGGACGCCGACACGGGCGCGTTTCCCTCCTCGTCAGTCGTCCACGCTCGTCATCATTCGTAGGCTCGACTCCGTTCGCAGGCGCGACGGCCGGCTGCACTTCTCCTCGGTTGCACTTAGCTGCACACGCTCCGCACTTCGTTCCGACACGTCGAGCGCGCACGCACAGCACCGGCGGCTATCGACTCACGTACGCGACCCAGAAAAGCGGACCCAGGACTTGAAGAGATCGGGAGACATCGGCAAAGAAAGAGAGCGTAAGAGGAAAAGAGAGAGAGTGAGAGAGAGAGAGAGAGAGAGAGAGAGAGAGAGAGAGATCAGCTGTTCCCGGTCAACAACATTTTTTCCCGTTAAAAGGAAAACACGATGAGGGAGATCGTGCATCTGCAGGCCGGCCAATGCGGCAATCAGATCGGCGCAAAGGTAGGTCCATTAAGTTCTTAAGGAAACGTCTCCTCCGTCTCCTCGAGCGTGCGAGAACCCGTCTGCGCGAAGCGTAACGCGAAGTCGCGCGGTCGTGTGTGTCTTAGCCGCGACTTGAAGATTGATTTTTCTTCGTGGCGAAAGGTCTCCGACGGAATACCGTCGTTCGTGTTTGCGAAGAGGGCGACGTATTCCTTGCTTCTTCATTCTCGAACATCATCCGAAGATGATGAGCGCGAGAGGTTCTTTGAAGAGCAACAGCACGCGTTTCTTTTTCTTTCTCGGTCGATCGGAATTTATATACGGCAAGAGATGGAGATCGAGATCACTCCTCAACTTTTCTAGTCGGCTACGTCGACATCCGATTGCTCCACCCACGAAGTTACATTGTCGGGTCGTAACTACAACGGAACCTAGTGATAAATTCTCTACGACCAGCTGGTAAATTAGGAGAAACCTCGGGGCAAACTTTGAAAGCGATTGAACTCGCCGCAAGAAAGCGCGGACCAGCTGATAGTTTCACTACCAGCTAATGACTTCAGGGTCCAACATCAAGGTCTGTACATCAAAAGCTACAAGCGCGAATGAGAGCCGAGGTTCATCCTGTGCGTCCGACTGGGTGTGGAGCTCTGCAGGAGCGTCGATGAGACGAGAATAATTTATTTGTTTGCGCACGCAGTCACGCGCGTCCGGAAATTGGTCGTAAAACTTGCTTCAAGTCGCGTTAAAACGACGGTCCGTCAATTAAAGGGAGAACAAACCGAGCATTATGACTCACCGTCTTCGAAGTATCGATCCCGGTTTATTCGCCGTACTTTCCGGAAAACTTGCGCTCTTCAAGTCCCCTTCTTGTTCTCGTTCACGCCGTATACGTGGAACGCGCGAAGGACCGGAAGTTACTCGTCGTCGTCTCTCGACTTTTCAATAACGCGCGCGGAATGCGCTCTTCATGCCTTTCGCCTGCTCGATGTTGAGCTTATCTGACGATGACGTTTCCCGTTAAGAAGTGAAACCGTAACGGATCTCCTTCTCGTTCCTATTGAACCATTATACGCGCATAGTTTTCGGAAATTCTCAAGTAGATGAAATTCTCGCGACTCAGTTAAAGTTAACGTCCTAGCTGGAAGGTGGAATTAATTGACCGAAAAATAAAAAAGCGCGATAACCCCCTTCGCTGAGGAAAATATTTCAGTTATTGACGAAAGACATCTCGCGACGACGCACCGAATGCGCGTGCCGCCGAATACTCGGGTGCTATCTTGTTCACGTGATTTACTAGAACCGCTTCTGCTAACGATCAGGTGTAATTAGCAAAACATTACGAAACCTCGTTTCAATCTCTGAGCGACTTTGTAAACTTTCCCCGCGTTCGTTTTTCGTCTCTCCGCCCCTCACTCCCCCCCCCCTCTTTCTCTCTTTCTCTCCCAGCTGTATCGGCGGTGATTGGTCTCGGTGGTAATCGGCGAGAACGAGCACTAAGTTGTGCCCACAAAAAAACCGAGATGCAACCTTTCTCGGTGGTGGTATCGTCTGACCGTGGCTGTAATCGAGTCGAAGATAAGACGGCGCGCAACGAGATGGAATTTAAAGTCTTTCCGCTGCGCTCGTCTCGCCATTGAGAGCGAGCCCCTCCCCGCTCTATTTCGTGCGGCCAAAGTGCGTAAAGTGATCCAAGTTTTAATCGCGCTGACACACGCGGGGGACGGAGGCAGGAAACGACGGTCGCGTACTCGGAGAGAACATTAAAATTCTGCAGTAATCGTCTCTGCCGTCGTCAATGGCGTGAAAGCGCGTGGACGCGCGAGCGGCCGGCGCGAAATCCATCTTTCTTGAGATTAATCGAGTGCGCAAGAAAGCAGACGATTCGATCTACTGATCGATCTTCTGACCGAATAAAATCTTACTTGCGATGTGTAATTACGAGCCCGGCTTGAAGGAAATCGGCCGAGAACCCGCTCTCGGAAAAGAATACTATCAACGTCAGCGGTTGAAAATTGCCGTTGCTAATTGTTCACTGTTTATTTCTCGCGAGTATAACATGTTGTTGGATGCACGACAAGAAACGAAGATATTATCGCGCGAGAAGCACTTGAGATCCGCTAATCTCATTGATCGTGTTCATTGGCGCGACAACTTGGGGGCTCGCGATACTCTTCGCTTTTGTTACTTTTTTTGTTGTTACAAGCGACATAAACAAATTTGCGAGTTTATTCTTTACATGTGTCCGAAATCAAAGGCGTTTCATATTCGAATTCTTTTCCTCGTGCATTTCAATCCTGCACGTGTTTTACTTATCATTTCAGAGAAAAGAACGTCGTGTATTCATCACATTTTTTTATATCATTGTTAAAAAATTTCAACGACGTTTCAAAATAACTTGGACGCATCTTGTGTCGACAGATCTCGGTCAGATTGGATAGATATCTGTCCAATTTAGAAATTGTCGTGATGATTTAATGAAATTTACTCGAAGATAAAAACCTTCCATCTTTATCAATGTTTGTCTCTGATAAGTGACACCTTATCATTGTTCCGTATAACTTTGTTGGAACGTTTTTTTCACTCACTATTGCTCATCGTGCACTGACGCGCGCTAAATGGCGGAGCGGAATTCTAGGAGCACCGAGTGAGTCAGAAATATTTTTTTAAAACGGACTTGAGGACAAACAGATTTGACAGCAAAACACCAAAGAAGTAATTTAATGCTGATGTTGCGCTGATTTAATGACGCATCGTTACACGTACCATCTTATCTGAAACAATGCTTAATCATTAATCAAACAGAAGAAACCCATGACACAAGATACGTTTCCTTTTTTATTTTTTATCAATTGCGCTTGTAATATATAAAAGTTGCTTTACCTTTGAAGATTGGAATAACTTTGATCGAGAAAAGTCGCAAACCCTCACTCGAGCGAGTCGATTTCATCGATTTGATTATTGCAATCGGTTACATTTCTCCTATCGATTCAGCAAACAGGGCGCTTTAACGATTATCCTTCCTCGAAAAGCATCGTCCTTTCACTCCGCCCTAGATGCGATTCCCAGAGCGGCATTGTTTTCCGCTTGAAAGGATTTAACGATCGCAGGAAGCAGAAATGATGCCTCCTGGAGCGGAATTGCAGACAACTGGGATCTACGCGATCTTACGATGATGTTTCTCGGCCGATTGAAGCGATTGTTGGAAGTCCGCGCACAAAGAGGCGAACGGTAAATCAGCTGAACACGTTGCAGCAACTCGACTACGCTCTCTCACGTTCCATTCTTCTACAATTTACAATCGACGCGAATTTCTCCATTTTTCAGCCTGGCGAAATTCAAGAAATTTCCCTCGTACAAGTAAAATAAAGTCGCCTTATTCTTAGATATAGATTTCAGACCTGCGCTCTTTTTGCAGCGCGGACGAGGAACGGATATTCTTCGATGAGAACCTAGCGACTTCTGCTCCGTCAGAGAATTTAATCAGAAATTTAATTTCGCCTTCTTTGTCCGATTTAACCGACACGCAACTGCTGCTCGACAATAAGCCGCGCCGACGGAAATTATTTCCAGTTCGCGCGATAACGCGTGCGAACGTCGCGAGTGCACGGCGAGGATGCATTTAGAATAATCGGAGGGTCGCGTTTCGACGAGACGGCCATGGCGACCGGCACACTGGCTCGCTATTAATAGCAGGAGAAAATAGTAAAGACAAGACAAATGGAGAGAGGAGAAATGTTTAACGGGAGGGTGGACATGAGCCAGGGGGCACAGGCCGCGTTAATTCCGTGCGTCTCTATTTTCGGATGTCGCGCGCGCGCGCGCGTGTTATCCTTGTCCTCCGGGGCCTGGGGAAATCGAGAGAGTGGCGTTTAGGGTACACCGCCCGGTCGGAGGGAAGTCGCCCTTCGCTCGACACCTCGAGCGGCTTCGGCTGCGACGAAAAACCCAACGGAATAAACCCACGGCGCGGGGACTATGTTTGGGAGATGATTGCAGAGAGAGGAGAGAGAGAGAGAGAGAGAGAGAGAGAGAGAGAGAGAGAGAGGGAGAAAGAGGGGGGATGCTCGCTATTTTTACGCCGGCTATCAGGCACACGCCCCCGCTCGCCTCGTTATCGCTAAATCAAATCTCTAATGGCGATATGAAGATGGCGATGGGCCATCTTTAAGCGGCTGATTTACGTAGCGTAATGTTAACGGATCACGTTGCAGTTCTGGGAAGTTATTTCCGAGGAGCACGGCATCGACCAGTCGGGCATTTATCACGGAGACAGCGATCTGCAGCTCGAGCGAATCTCCGTATATTACAATGAAGCATCTGGTAAGGGCATGTTAAACATAAAGCGGCCTCGCGTGCCTCCCCGCTCCTCCAAGTATAAGCGGAATGCGATCCACTTGGAGGACTCGAGCCGTGCTTGAGATTTATTGTGTGTCATATCACAACATACTCGCTTACGCGTCAGTGAGTCTCCGATGACTCTTGAGAGGAAATCTTTCTTATCGAATTATATCTCGCGCAATATCCGCTCGGGGATCATTCGGGCACGACGCTCGACGTTGAAGGAGAAGCTCGCGATGCGTCGCGATCATCTTTATAGGATAATCTGCATAATTCCGCGAACAAAGCTCGCGCGTCCAACTATGACATATACATCATAGTGATGGAAATCAGGCTACTCGGCGCACCTGTCTTCTCTCGGTGGAAGGACGGGCGCGAGCGCGGTCTGAAATAGAAACGCCGAGGGTGACGAAGAAGCACCGACCGTTCGTATTTGTAACATCAGACGTTCGATTGACGACAATCAGCCGCGTCGACGGGAATGAAATCAGACTTCTCGATGCACGATGCGGAGAGATCCTCCTCCGGAGAGTGACGGCTGCGCGGCGCGGCGCGGCGCGGACATTCTGTCGACACGCGTCGAAAATAGCAGCAACGAGAAAGGTAGAAATGCGCGCTGTCCCGCGCCGATACTCGGCGCGATGGAGAAAAGGAGCAGGTCGGGACGTGCATTTACGTGCCGAAAATAGCCGCTTTGTGGCGCTCGGACGTTAGAGTTTGCGCATCGCGACACGGCGGCGGTCAGGCGTTTTCGCGCCGCGGAAATGATATTATTTCCAGGAACGTGGGACGCGCGCGACGCGGCGCGTGTTCCACGCTGGAAACAGCGCGGTTGACGAGTCGCTGAGGCTCACGTACCCGCATGTAAATGAGTTGTTAAAAATAGATTATAACGCACGGCGGGGCCGCCGATTTGCTGCGTTTTATCTCTCTGACGCATTTTCAAGTTCGTGCTTCCTTAATTGTGCAATAAATTATGATGAGTTCATCAATACGCGTCCTGATACGCGATATCGCGACGACTCGCAAACACGAGTATAAAAAAATGCCGGTAATTGGGCGAAATTGTACGCACTACTAACGATAAGCTGGGAAAGCCGGGAAGCGAACACGTTGCATCCCTTGGTCGCATCGCAGACGGCGTCGTCTGTGTTGAAATGAAATGAGTGTCTTTCCCGCCGCGGTGTTACCTCGATTACCTCTCATCGCGCAGCGTCACAGCGCTCATACTCCTCAGACCGTTGAGTTAGCGCTGTCTCATTTGCAAACGACGCAGGCACGCGTTGTTCCGTCCGTATACGCACTTCCGCCGGCCATTAAAGTCGCCATAGGAGTTTTCGGTAGAATGACAATAGCGGCCGATTTAATATGGGCGCGCCGACGTCTTGTATCATCCACGTGGATGTGTCGCGCGGCAACTATTGAGTACGGTCGTCCTTATTGACGACGTTTGGACGACCTGAGAATGTATTTAACGAATGAAGGAGTGCTAGAAGTTTCCTCGTACGGCCTCTCCGACTAACACAGGCTTGTTGCACGAGTAGCTTTCTCGAGGACCTTGGCCTTGTTTCTAGACTAGTCTCTTGGATCCTTGCGCTCCTCGGGAGATCCGAATGGGAGACTGAAACGTGCTAATCGATTCTTCAACTCTCCATCCTTCCAGTCGCAACGTCGACAAACGGTGGCAAGTATGTGCCGCGCGCCATCTTGCTGGACCTGGAGCCCGGAACGATGGACGCCGTTCGCTCCGGCGCTTACGGGAAACTCTTTCGACCCGACAATTTCGTGTTCGGACAGTCCGGTGCTGGCAATAACTGGGCGAAGGGCCATTACACCGAGGGTGCCGAGTTGGTGGACTCTGTCCTCGACGTGGTGAGGAAGGAATGCGAGAACTGCGACTGCCTTCAGGGCTTCCAGCTCACCCACTCGCTGGGAGGTGGTACCGGCTCCGGGATGGGCACCTTGCTAATCTCCAAGATCCGCGAGGAATACCCCGACCGGATCATGAATACTTACTCGGTGATGCCATCGCCAAAAGTGTCCGACACGGTCGTGGAACCTTACAACGCGACGCTGTCGGTGCATCAATTAGTGGAGAACACCGACGAGACCTACTGCATCGATAACGAGGCCTTGTACGACATCTGCTTCCGCACATTGAAGGTTTCCAATCCGAGCTACGGCGATCTCAATCACCTGGTCTCGCTCACCATGTCCGGAGTGACCACTTGCCTCAGGTGGGTGGCGGCGAACAATAAGCAGCGCGAACGATAAACGGTCACGTAGATAAAACTAATAACTACATTACTATAGGACATGGTCTTCGAGTATTTACCAAATTTATGCTGTAGAGTCTTCATTTGTTATTACAAATAAACGTAAAACACAGCAAGACCGATTTTATGCCAATCAGTATTGCAATGATTTTGCAATAATTAGTTGATTTGACATTTTTCTTAACGTTTGCTCAGCTCATCCACGCGAATCTCGAAGAGTCTCGAGTGAAATCGGGGAATTCAACTAAACTATTTTCAGGTTTCCCGGCCAGTTGAACGCCGACTTGCGGAAACTCGCGGTGAACATGGTGCCTTTCCCACGTTTGCACTTCTTCATGCCGGGTTTCGCGCCTCTTACGTCCAGGTCCATGCAACAGTACTCGGCGCTTTCCGTGCCAGAGCTCACCCAGCAGATGTTCGACGCGAAGAACATGATGGCGGCCTGCGATCCTCGCCATGGCCGGTACCTCACCGTGGCGGCCGTTTTCCGCGGCAGGATGTCCATGAAGGAGGTGGACGAGCAGATGCTGAGCGTGCAGAACAAGAACAGCTCGTACTTCGTCGAATGGATACCGAACAACGTGAAGACTGCGGTCTGCGACATCCCGCCCAAGGGGCTGAAGATGTCGTCGACCTTCATCGGCAACACCACCGCCATTCAGGAGCTGTTCAAGAGAATCTCCGAGCAGTTCACGGCGATGTTCAGAAGGAAGGCCTTCCTGCACTGGTATACAGGCGAAGGTATGGACGAGATGGAGTTCACCGAGGCGGAGTCGAACATGAACGACCTGGTGTCCGAGTACCAGCAATACCAGGAAGCCACGGCCGAGGAAGACTTCGAAACGGAGGAGTGTGCCGACGACTTTGAGACTTGCGAGCAGGAATGAAGTCAACGCGACGCTTCCTCCTTCTGAATTCATCTTCAGCTTCTCTATCCGTCATCGTAGGAGCTCCCACGATCGATCGTGCGCTCTCGAGGAGCAGTCTTTTGATATTTTTATATACGATGCGCTTTGTAATTGAGACGGCGAATGTAATACAAGCGTCCGAGATCGCTTTCCTTTTTCCCTCCTGTTTTTGTGATACTCGAGTGTTTTTGCAAAGGGTACGTCCAGGTACAGACGAACGAATTCAGAGGCAACTACAACAATCGCGAATGATCGTATAATTAGAATGCGGCGAGGCTTCTCCGTTTCGTTCACCTCGGATACGCTTGTATTACATTCGGCCTCACTAGTGATAATTATATGAATCTTGATATGTCGCTTGGATGAACGTGGCATGGACTGGATTGCAATAAAAATCCTTGGAAAATCACACGTTTCTACCGTACTCTTAGTAGTTTCGTAGAAACTCAAGGCGATCAAACGTCAATCTACAGCCGACGAAATATTCTTTTGTCTGAAGAGAAATTTGTTTCCTCGTTATCCCTTCCAATGGTTCCAACGCGTTAATTCTTGCATCCTTTAGTCATAATCTGAGCGAATAATACGTTTCACTTCACCTGGAGAGCTATTTCTAAAATTATTAGAGAAGCAACACGCCGTATAAAATACAATTATGCATTCAAGCAGTCTCATCATTGGTCTAATATTTTTATCATTGGTATTATATTTTTAATCTTCCCAATAATTCTCCCCCATCTCCCTCTCTTCCTACCATGCATGCGAATTTTCGCCTGAACACCGCGTTACCACTCGTTTCCAAGTTGCTCATTTCCGTTCTCCTGATACTCTCGATACTCGGAGATGAGGGAGAGCAGTTTCTCATGAGCTTCCACGAATTCGGACTCCTCCATGCCCTCGCTGATGTACCAATGGATGTATGCCTTTCTCCTGAACAAGTTCTGGAAGAGATCGGACAGCTTCTTAAGCGGCTCCTGAATCGCTGTCGTGTTCGATAACACGGTGCCGGACATGTTCACGCCGCGCGGCGGCACGTCGCATATAGCGGTTTTGATGTTGTGCGGTATCCATCCGACGAAATATTTGCTATTCCTGTTCTGTATATTGCACATTTGCTCTTCCACGTGCTGAAACAAAGAATTCAATCTTGTTACTAAGGCAGAACACACCGGAGAACAAGTGCCACTTGTGCCGTTTTCTCACATATCCTTTCGTTTGGTATGGTAAAAAAAGTCGCGAAAGATCATCGAATATTTCAGGAATGTCGCACGATCGAACTTTTAAATACCTTGGTCGACATTCTGCCTCGGAAGATCGCGGCGACGGTGAGGAATCGTCCCTTTCTAGGATCGCAATCGGCGAACATGCTGCTCGCACTGAACATCTGTTGCGTCAATTCCAGAACCGACAGAAGTCTGTAACGAATCGATCTGTCTGCTATCAGCGGCACGTGTCCGGGCACGAAGAAGTGTAGCCGTGGAAACGGCACCATGTTCACCAGAAGTTTCTTCAGGTCAGCGTTCAACTGTCCTGGGAATCTAAATCAAGGATAACGTAGGAAAAGAGTCGCTTCGTGAACATTTCTGCAAATGGTACCTTGGAAATGTCCAGCTTACACGTAAGACGCATCATTACTCTCTATCGAAGTGTACAATCGGAATAAGCTTATATTTCATACTACGGAACGTCCGAATTGTCATGCGAACCTCAAACACGTCGTGACGCCTGCCATGCAGACGGAAATTAAGTGATTCATATCGTCGTAAGTCGGCGAGAAGAGTCTCAGAATGCTATTGCAAATATAATAGAGGGCCTCGTTATCCATGTGGTAGACTTGGTGGACGCACTCGATCAGGTGGTTAATCGACAGTACCGCGTTGTAGGGCCCCACAACGACGTCCGACGTTCTCGACGACGGCATTACGACGTAAGATTTCAACACTCTGCCGGGATATTCCTCGATCAAGTTCTGAACGAGCAAACTGCCCATACCTGACCCGGTGCCACCGCCCAAAGCGTGCACGAGCTGTATACCTTCGTTAACGATGATCATTAATCGTTTCTTTCGGAATTGGCCTCGGGAGAAGTCTTGTTCCGAGCTTACCACGAGGGAAGAGAGAGAGAGAGAGAGAGAGAGAGAGAGAGAGAGAGAGAGAGAGAGAGAGAGGAAGGGAAAGAAATATAATATAAAAAACTAATACAATATAAATAATACATAAAACTATAGAAACAAATGGACATAACAGTGTTAATGATACCCTTCAATTTGACGTAAAAAATATATATGTATATGTATGTAAATATGTATGTAAAAGTAGTGATAGAATTTAAAGTTTCTAATTTTTGTTTCCTTTTGTGATCGCTATATAGACACAGCAGTTGCTCTGACTCCAAACAGAAGGTAATTCTTGACCGTTGCAGCGTGGAAGCAACGTCACATTCCTCGCGGAGTCTGCTGAACTTTTAACCTTGGATTAAATCGCAGCTCTCGGCTTCCGTTCGCACGAGTTCCAAGGTCAAGTCCGCGAGCTCCGCTCCTTCGGTGTAATGACCCTTGGCCCAATTGTTGCCGGCCCCGTTTGTCCCGGCCACGACATTGTCGGGCTTAAATAGGTTGCCGTACGGTCCAGATAACACGGGTTCCAAGCCTTTACGGTCGAGGTCAACGAGAATAGCCCTGGGCACGTATCTCTCGGCTGAAAAAAAAGCGATCGCCGATAATACCGCCTGACGGACAGAATAATCGTTTTGCGCGCGCCGATCGTCTTTAATTGTATCTCTGATACAGTCATTGACGGGAACAACGCGCGTCGGCACGCGCTGTATTACGAAGTAGTTAATGTCGGCGATTAGCAGCGATTAGAAGCGTGCCATGCCACGCTTCTGGGAAGGAGAGGGAGGAAAAAAGAGCATGACCGCATCACCACGATCGATACCTGCGTCTTCTGCGAAATACACGTTAATTCGTTGCAATTGAAGATCAGATTTCCCAACGAACCTGCCGGTCGGATTCAGTCCGTGCTCGTCTGAAATTACTTCCCAAAACTGCGAATAAAATTTAGAATGACTTTTTGACGCGACGATTATTATCAATAAAATAAAATTCATCGATAAAATGCATTCTCTATTAAAATTGTTTGAATTTTTTTAAATGACTATTAGTTCACATATATAACTATAATTGTATATGTGGAAATCGTATATATATATATATATATATATCAAAATAAATATTATATTTTTTATAATTTTATTTTAATTTTTTATAATATCTTTTTATAAATTTAGACAACAGGTTACCTTTCTTCCGACATTGTTGCCGCATTGTCCCAATTGCAAGTGCACGATTTCTCTCATTTCGACTGCACCGACTGATAATTTTCTGATAAAGCCCAATTCAAAGAGAGATTGATGAAATTTTTTAGTCCAATCGGTTACATGTTTCTGCCATTCGTTTTATCTATTTGACGATGATTCACAACACATCAGACACATGAAATTGGCGTCGTGCGAAACGAACGATTCGATATCCCGGTCTCGGAAAAGTCAGCGCTTGCCGTATTTGACGTTCTGCATTACCTGACCATTAGATCTGTCCTCTTGTAATTATACTTCACCGTGTTTTCAAGCATTTTTCTCACATCGCTCATTTTCCACGGCCACGTCACTGTGTACCGATCTGTCATACAAGACGTTTCCTCCTCCCGATCACCACGCTCGATGATTGACATTTCACACCGTTCCTCTCGTCAATCGAGACCCTGCGGAAACCCTCTCAAAGTTCTTCGTGTCTTTTACGACTCGCAATTAAAAGACGCGTTTCCCACAGCGGTACTCGCGCCCAATCGCAGTCGATCAAATAAAAATGGCGAGAAACGCATTAAATCGACGCGCGCGAGTGCACCGAGCCGAGTGTCTTCGCTCGTGCGGCTCTCGGCGCGCAGCAAACGCGCGTTCTCCGTTGTTCGCTACGATTGCACGCGATAATAAAGTGTTTGCCCTCGGGGCACCGATGAGATAATGCGCGATCGCCAATTTTTGCCGAGGCCTTGGCTTCATCAATGTCAGTTGGCCAGAAGGACGATAACGAGTTCGATAGCGAGAGCCGCGTCTAAACGCCTGCGATTACTCGTCTTATTTAAGAGGCGCGTGTATTTATATGACGGTACGGGCGATGCCATTAACTGATACACAGATGATGCTGTTAACGCGAACGGAGAGCGCAACTCGTGAACGCGCGAACCGAACTTCGCGTCGGGAGGAATCGAGCTCGAGGAAACTCATTAATTAATTTCACGGCTGCCGATGTGAGACTCGAGGACCGATCGTCGAGTTTAATTTCACGCGTGTTGTTTATTGAAGCCTTTACAAATATTACAAATACTACGAATAATCAGGACTCCTCGTAAAAAAAGGAAAAGAGTATATTCGTACTACCGACATATAAAATGTTGTAAAGGATGACTAAAAAGAAAACAAATAAACAAATCTTCGAAATAAAACGTACGCGATCGAAAAAAAGTAATTTGTAAACGTAAGCGCGCTTCTTCGTTCCTCCCCCTTCTATTTCTCCATTTCCTCTTCGTCCATCAGCTCCTCGTCCTCCACCGTCGCGTCCTGATACTGTTGATACTCCGACACCAGGTCGTTCATGTTCGATTCGGCCTCGTTGAACTCCAACTCGTCCATACCCTCGCCGGTGTACCAGTGCAGAAAGGCCTTCCTCCTGAACATTGCGGTGAACTGTTCTGAGATTCTCTTGAACAATTCCTGGATGGCTGTCGAATTGCCGATGAAGGTGGCGGACATCTTGAGGCCGCGCGGTGGAATATCGCAGACGGCGGTCTTCACGTTATTCGGGATCCATTCGACGAAGTACGAGCTATTCTTGTTCTGGATATTGAGCATCTGCTCGTCCACCTCCTTCATCGACATCCTGCCGCGGAAGACAGCCGCCACGGTCAGATAACGACCATGACGAGGATCGCAGGCCGCCATCATGTTCTTCGCGTCGAACATTTGCTGAGTGAGCTCCGGTACGGAGAGCGCACGATACTGTTGGCTTCCTCGGGACGTGAGCGGCGCGAAACCGGGCATGAAGAAGTGCAGACGAGGGAAAGGCACCATGTTCACCGCCAGTTTCCTCAGATCGGCGTTCAGTTGACCGGGAAATCTACGGTTGATGAGAAACAATATGTTGGAACGTGATCGCAGGGAAGAGGAGAATATGAAGTAGCGCTTCCGTTCTACTATGTGTGTGTGTGTGTGTGTTTGTTGTACTTTTAGTCTCTAAAATAGATCTCCCTATTTCTTATCAATTAAGACTCTCTATTCTGTCCCTTGTAGATAATCTGCCGCTTTAATCCCACAGACCTTAGACAGGTTGTCACGCCGGACATGGTAGCGGAGACCAAGTGATTTAGATCACTGTACGTGGGGGTAGTCAGTTTCAGCGTGCGGAAGCAAATATCGTAAAGAGCTTCGTTATCGATGCAATAAGCTTGATCTGTGTTCTCCACCAGCTGGTGAACCGACAAAGTGGCGTTGTAGGGCTCCACTACGGTGTCGGACACCTTGGGAGAAGGTACTACAGAGAAAGTGCTCATGATCCTGTCGGGGTACTCCTCTCGGATCTTTGTGATGAGCAGAGTGCCCATTCCGGAACCGGTGCCGCCTCCCAGCGAATGTGTGAGCTGAAAACCCTGAAGACAATCGCAGCCTTCCGCCTCTTTCCTCACCACGTCGAGCACCGAGTCGACCAACTCGGCGCCTTCGGTGTAATGACCCTTGGCCCAGTTATTGCCAGCCCCCGATTGTCCGAACACGAAGTTGTCCGGTCGGAATATCTGTCCAAACGATCCTGAACGGACAGAATCCATCGTACCGGGCTCGAGGTCCACCAGAATCGCGCGCGGCACATATTTCGGTCCGGAGGCTTCATTGTAGTACACGTTAATCCGCTCCAACTGAAGATCCGAGTCACCGTGATAGGAGCCCGTGGGATCGATGCCATGCTCGTCCGAAATCACCTCCCAAAACTAGGAATTATTTCAAATTATTGACTTGTTGTCTGACTATCTTATAGAATCATTCCACTTAATGTCTCGTTTCTCGATCATTTCAACGGGAAATCTGAAGACTTGTTTGTGAGGAAAAACCAATTTTTCATTTAATCCACCACGTAAAAAATTGAATTTTTTTAAAATTACGTATTGTCCTCTATTTGTGTGTGTGTGTGTGTGTGTGTGTGTGTGTGTCAATTTATTTTTGTATGTGTTATTTTTGTATGTGTTATTTTTGTATGTATAAATATTTGATTTTTGGAAATCTGAAATGGGAGCTTTCGAAAACGTTGAAAATTGCGACATCGCGAATATTATTTAATATAAATTATAAATATAGAAAATATATCGCAACGAATCTATCGGCAAGTTTTTGAATATCTACCGATGTTATCATATATTTCATTTCTTCGTGAATACTAACCTTGGCTCCAATTTGATTGCCACATTGACCGGCTTGGATATGAACAATCTCACGCATTTTTTATCACCAAGCACCTCTTGGAATTTTTTACTCTCCTCTTTAGGAATTTTAGGATAAGACGGTTTTACAAGACCCAACTTTAATGATGAACCCTAACGATTTTAAAATAGGAATTGATCCTCGGGAAATTTAAGGACGTGGAACGAGGATATCGCGGCTTTATCTAAGATGTCATTCAAACAGAAACAGCTGACTACAAGGTTCCCCTTGGTGACGATAGATATCGATTAAAATCCACTTTGGACGAACCGCAAACATAAAAAGGAAACATAAATTACGCATCTATCATTATTACTCCACCTTACGGTGGATAAGCAATAGCCTTGCTCTCCATTTCGGCGATTGAGCAGCCTCGGGCTTAAAAACTATCGATCGCCAAGGTTCCGCACAGACGATTCCCACACAAACCTTCAATAGAGACACTAGGATATTTTATTTCGTCTAACTAAAATCATAACGAGACTCATCCCTAACGACGCAAGAACAAAATGCAAAATATCGACATCTAACCGGAAACATAAAAAAAAAAGAGAAAGCGTTACGTTCTCTAAAAGTCTCACGGATCTCTCGAGCGCGTTAATCCTCTATCCACACGCAATGTATACGCACACGCACGCACGCACGCACGCACGCACGCACGCACGCACGCACGCACGCACGCACGCACGCACGCACGCACGCATCGCGCGACGACAGTTAGCAGTACTTTCTTGCGACTCTGAGGGGAAACAAGTACCGAACCGTCTTAGTCGACAAACACACACTGACACACAAGGCAGGTATTACAAAGGAGAAGTACATTATAATAAATGGAAAAATAAATACAATGCGTGTCTATACTGGTAATTATAATACAACACACACGTGGTAAGGTGCTAATTAATAAGACTGTCTCTCGTTGTCTCCTTGCGTCGCCTCATTCTGGAGGCATACGTTCACCTCCACCACCGCGCTGGACGTCTTCGGCTCGACGACAGTCTCGACGACAGTCTCGACGACAGTCTCGACGAAGCTCTCGTCCGTCAGCTCCTCTTTGGATGTACTTAAGTTCTTCGCCCCTTCTTCTTCTTTCGAAGGCAGCACGGCAGCTGGCTTTTCACCTTCCGGCGTAGTCGCGGCTTCCTGTGTCGCAACCTTCGAGGTAGACGAGCGGCTGCCCGGTTTGCCGTTCACCAGAAACCTCAGGGGCACGGTCTCGACTCTGCCTGTACCTCTCCTAGTGCGCGGGGATATTTCGTGCGTGAGAAGAATGAAGAGACCGACCGATTGCAATTTAACAACGGAGCCGGGAGATATCGTGAATTGAATTATACGGAAACTCTCTTCGAGAAGTAGTAGCCAAGAGGTGACGTGGCCCTTCGTCTTATCATCGAGTCATCGCTGACTCGAATTCTCTTTGAGATCTTACGACAAATTAATTGATATCCTTGGAAAGAAAACGTTTGGAAGGAAAAAAAAACGGTCGAAATCTGCGCCATTGAGGCGACTAACCTCGATATTGTCGGGCAGGACCACAGTTTGAAATCAGCCCCGAAGAGCTCACCCTCTTCGATCGTCTGTGGCAAGTGAATGTTGAGCGTCTCCGGTAGGAAGACAGACGTGAGTGCGCCGGCGACGCTCAGTGATCCCATGACGATCAGCGGAAGGACCCTCGAGTAGACCGCTAGGTGAACGATGTAGGGAAAGGTAAGGAGGCCGATGCCGGCGATGAACGAGGCTATGCCCATCGCTTGGGATCTCAGTACGGTGGGCAGCAGTTCCCCCACAAAAACGTAGAAGACGGCGAAGGACGCAGCGATGCCGAACTTTCCGATCATCGCCAAGCACACCGTCACCCAGACCGCATCTGCTGCGACAAAGGTCGATCTCGTGTATAAAGGGTGAAACTTGCGGAATCTGTCCGAATCCTTTGCCACGACGAAAGCGAGAATGTCTTAAAATGGGGAGGAAAAGGTATTTCGTCAATTTTTTTTGCCCCCCTCCCCATCTCTCTCTCTCTCTCTCTCTCTCTCTCTCTCGTCACTGGCAGCAGCCGGAACTCTGCGAATTTCACGATAGATTCCCTTCTGATGAGCGAAGTTACGCGTGCAGGGCGATACTAATTTACTAAGCAGGTCGAACGTTTACTCATGGATGCCTGTGACGTCGGTGCAGCAATCGTCGAAACGATAATTCCCGCTTACGTTGTGTGATATCACCGTCGCTATCATGACGAATTCAATAAGTTAATGACGTTGGGGCCGCCGTGACGCAGACGCACGATTCAACTTAATACTTTTATTCAATCCCGCGGCGGGTTATAATCAAATAATATGAAGCTGAGGAGCGCGGCGCTTTTCCACTTGTGGCCGTTTCCACTCGTCGCTATTTATTAACAAATATGTATACTCTGCGATCTATTGGGCGTGAGTGATTGGCTGCAGATTTAATGAGGAATTCGCGCGCGATTCGTGTGCGACAACTTGCCGACAGCACCTCAGTGGGAATAATCCCGACGGACATTATTCCGGGTGACATACATACGAGTCTGCTGAGAGATTGCGATCTCGGGCTAAGACGGTAAATCGACGAAGCAGTGTACCTTCGGGTACGAACATGCAGGATACGCATGCGAGTCCTCCCAGCAGCATGGTCAGGCACAGTACCCATCGTCTGCCCAGCCGATCCATCGCGTACCACGTGAGAACGTAAGACGGGATCTCGACGATGCCGCCTGCGACAAACGTGAGAGAAATCTCTTATTTCCTTCGGAATCGACAAGATTCTACTCGGCCCCGCGCGCGACGGCGCGGGGAGTTTGCGCCTCGCGTGCCTCGCTTCACCGAGAATGATGCTTTTACCGATAAAGAAGGCCAGATAATCGGAGACACCCAGATTCGTTGTATTGTAGGACAGGCCGTTGTACACCACCGCGTTCGCCACCCAATCGAAGGCGAGAATGAAAAACTTCTTCCTAATGTTCGGATTCGTGATCAGGTCCATGGGCGTCGCAGACGTTGGTGGCGATCTGTCCACCTCGATGTTACTCTCGTTGGTGTTCTTACCGTTACACGACACCCCTTGTCTCTTTAATATTTCCACCTGCAAGCAAGATATTCGTATGGTTTCATGTGATCCGCCCTTACTTACACCGCTGTCAAGGGAGATATACTGGATGGCGTATGCTGAAAAATACGAGCAAACGCCTCACAAAATGTGAAAATTGCACGTTTACGCTCACGACGAAATAAGAGGATGGAGAATTCGCCGAAGGGGCAAACTGAACAACGATCACAAATCGGCAGTCGTATCGCGCGATTTTTCGCACGCTCGAGAACATTGGAATTACCTCCATCTTCCTGAGAAAATTCGTCGGCACTGTCTTGCCGTTGACTTTCGCCATGTGCTGGACGATCACCTCCGCCTCGTCTATTCTATTTTTACTGAGAAGCCACCGCGGTGACTCGGGGATGATCCAGTAGTAACTGAAGAGAAGAATAAACGGCACCGACGTGGCTAACGATAGGGTGTACCAGTGCCTTAACAAGTAACCCTAACAGAAGGATAATATCGAAGCATGTACTGAACATTCGACTGAAATGACACTTTTGTATTATACAGAGATTATTCTCTCTTTCTCTACGTGCGTAAGTAAACTACAATTTATTCTTAAAACCAGGGAATGAGACGGAGCGGATTCGCCATTTATTGTCAACTGCAAAAGCTACAGTAGAAAGAAAATCTGTCCGTGATATTTTGCAAATTCTGTCTGATATTTCCTCTCTACAGTTGAATCGCAATTTTTCACTTGATTATTTCCATACTCTCTGTAATATTTGAAGACACTTGTTTGTAATAGGAAATTTTGCCAAGTCTGTTATTACCAGAGCGAATACACAGACGTGAAGACTTCATTCAGAATTTATCTGCGTGCTCGGTAGCGCATTTCGCTTCGGAGACATCTGAATGCAGAATGTTTCTATTTGCATGCAGCGAACGTGACCGACCACTCGCATTTGCATACGCTCGCGCTTCGTATGATACACGCTGATGGATCGCTTGCAAAATGATCCGCGTTGCACCCTCGCGTTGAATTTATTGTCAACGCGATCTCCGCTCAGCCGCCGCGCGATAAACGCGCGAGAGGCGCGTCGCGCGATAACGCGAGCACGCTTGTTGAGACGCTCGCAAAGTCCGGAGATTTCTCGGGCTGTAGGCGTGTTGCTCCTCTCGCGCATCCTGCGCGGGCCTGCGTATTTTACGAACGACAGCACTTACCAGCAACGCTAGGAGAGACATCGCCGAGGCGAAGAACATGCAGATTACCATGCCGGCGAATGTCCGATATCGCGGTCCCATCAGCTCGAGAGCTGCAACCAAATTCGCCATATACGAGTGTCGTTTTGCGTCAACGTTTGCGTTCCAATATTTCTATTTAGCGTCGCATTCGTAGCGCTAGTCTCTCGAATGTACTTTATTCGTCCTTGGAATTATTCGCGGATTCATGCGCCGCATAGCAATTCGACAGATTTTTACACTTCTCCCTCGAGAAAATATTTGTAGAAATTTTTATCTGTTTGTGAATTTATTTTTTTACTTGTTTGTAAGTGTCTGTAAAAATGTACATTTCTATCGAGAATTCGAAGGTGGTGTCAGCCGATGATGATTCACGCATGTTGCGCTACGTACCTAGTATGAAAGGTATCTGGTAAATGGCAGGAAAAAAGAGACCATTCACAGTCCTCAGCGCCGTGTAAATCACGTAGTTCGGACTGAAACTCGTGGCGATGGAGAATATCACCTCGAGGAACAGGATGGCGAAGAAGGCAGTCCTTCTGCCCCATTTGTCGGCGATCCAACCGAACACAACGTTCCCGAAGAGACTGCCGACGTAAAAGAACGTGGTCGACGTGGAAGGCCACCAGCTGTTGTCACATACCAGGTCTAGCTATGTGGATGTAGAATGCCATTAAACTACTTCGCCAGCACGAGCTGGCGCATTGAGACGTAAAACTATCGATCGAATCAACCGCAGAGAATATAAACTCAAGGATGCTGTCAGTATTGCAAAACATGCAGAGTAGACAAATGACAATTTTCTTATAGAGAAAATACAAATAAAAGTAAACAACTTTTCATGGACTGTATAAAAGACAGAAAAAGAAACGCTCGTAACATTACGTTTACGTCATTCATACACGAAAGATGACAAGTGCTTTGAATATATTCTCTTCCACGATAAAAACAGAAAGTTCTAAAAGATGTACATAATCCTCATGATAATCTTCATTTCATGATAATTGCTCGAAAAGAGCTGGGAGAACGCGCGCTTTCGTTAATCCCTCCATGTCTCCGACATTTTCATCGTTCGATCGAGAAGTACTCTTTGCACGACGCAACTACCGAATGGGGGAAAAGTTGAAATGAGGCTACGCAACACAAACGAGATTACAGGGAATACAAAGTCGACCGTATGACGACTCAAGAGGGTGAGTGATATCGCAGTTAACCCGAAGGAGTCATTGCACCGATCGCAGCAGTTATCATTATTCCTACGTAGACATATATCCGCGATGCGCAATGCGCAATGTGACACATTGGCAATTGCGGCCGCCGAGAGACCGCGAGTCCGCGGTTTTCATGACCCGCCAGCTCCCGAGGTCTCACGAGAACTTGCGATTGACACGTTTCGTAAGATTTGCATCACGGTGTGAGAGAATGCGAGAGATACGACAAGCCGAGAGTGTCTGCGCTCACTCGCTCGAATTGAAGGCAGTCTTTAAACGCGCAAAACAGAGCTCGTGCTCAGGCATGAACGTGGAAATTCGACACGCTCGATATACTACACGACGACGACTCAACACAGCTACGCCGAGCTACAATTTAAAAACTGGGACACAAATGGGCGACAATTATTTCTCGTTGCGCGAGTCTACGAAAATTTCGCTCCCGAATCTCGAATTAAATGCGAATGGGAATTATCTGTACGACAAAGGCTTCGGGGGACATTTCATTTTACGACTTCGGGCGTGATTCCCGGGATGCCAAAAAAAAAAACTCCCAAAGCACATAACGTCCGACGGGAAGAGCCCATCTATTATCGCGGCATTTGACGCAGAGATTTAACAAGCAACTGTCACAAAGCACCCAGTACAACCGCCCGGTATAGCGTACGTGCGGCGCTATTAGCGGCAAACCGGAGTGCGTGCTCGCACACGTGTGAACACACGCGTCACCGTCACTCGGCCGATCGTCATTTGTTCGTCAATCCAGCATCGGCGACAGAGCGCGCGTACGCTGAAGAATGGAGCAGCGAAGGGAAGCTGAGAGAGAGAGAGAGAGAGAGAGAGAAAGAGAGAGAGAGAGAGAGAGATGTGTTGCTGGACCGGTACAATGGTGGGGGCGTTTCATCTCGTTGCGTTTACGCAGGAGGCTGCCGACGTAAACGCGCTCGCGTGTTTATCGCGAGCGGGGGCGCAGGGGGGGTACGCGCGTGTCGGTGTGCGAGTTGTACGGAGCTTCACACGTGTAAATCGCGAGCGCTCATATGCGCTTGCACGTGTATGCGCGTGTCCGAAGGCCCCCAAGGTGTATTGGTAAGCTCCCACAGTGAGAGGTGTCCATCACCCTCGTTTGACAGGAGGAACCCGGTCCCCTCCCTCCCCGCACCCTCTAGAGTCCCCCCTCCCTCTCTCTCTCTCTCTCTCTTACGGTCTCTCGATGTATCATTCTCTTTTACTCCCTCTCTTCTTCCCCCTCTAAATCATCCTCGTTCTTCTCGAGCGCGACTCCTGGCCGGACGCAAACATCTTGCTGAGCGCGAGTTTGTGGCGTGAGCGATGCTTTTGGAAGATAATGCGCTTTTTGCGAGTCACGACGCGCGGATTGTTCGGTGTAGCCACGTCTTAATGAGCAATTAGCGATCGGTAAGACTCCGTGCTTGAGGGGAGAACCGATCTTCCCTCCTCCCCCTTGCCCTTCGTGTTTGCGGAACAATTACGAGATGGTGCGTGGCTCGGGACGATGGGAGCCTCTTGTCCGCGCGTTCTTTTTGAAAATCGTCTCCCTGGCGAGGCATGAGAACGAGACTATGTCCTCCGGAGGCCTGCAGCAACGCGATGCACTCCGTCGAGAGGATGCAATTTAACGAGTTATCAGTAAAAGCAACGCACGGGAGTCGCACGCTAGCGAGTAGCGAGCGCTGCGCCGAATCGATGAGCACTCTCGAGCATCCCAATCGAGTGTCTATTAGCCTCGGCAAATAAAGCCTGCCGGTGGGTGTTTAATGGCTTTGACACGAAGTTTGATTTAAGCAAATTACCACTCACGGGCTTTCGCGGTCTGCGCGAAACGCAAAAAGGATAAATTGCGCGCAAAGACGGGAGCAGCCGCTGATGATGCTATCGAGTTATCGCCAAGGCCGGTGCATGCGCGTATAAGGACACTGATGGCACTGATGTGTATTTTGTCACCCTGAGGCACTTCGAAATCATTGATGCACGACCGCGGTGACGTTACCGCGGCTGTTTGTGCGCGCGCGAGCTCGACTTCGCAATTGAAGGTACCGCGACGGTCAGACGGTTTTCGACAACGAAAGTCTATATTCGCGCAGCGAGGTGTGAAGAACGTGAGAAAAAGCCGCGAGGAGGAAGCTCTGCTTTACCGAATTACAAGTCGAACTGCGCAACTCTTGGAAGTCGAAAAGTTTGTCACCGCCGACGACGAATTTGCCGATCTGAGCCGTCCGAGATTCAATTTTTTCAAGCAGCTCGTTCAAGCTGCCTGCCGTGCGACGACACTTCGTCTACGGCTGCAACTCTGCTCTCCATCTATGCGGCGGCTGCGCGTGCGAGCCGCGCCTATTTACTCGCTCCGGATTTACGCAGACTCATGACGCAAAGTGTCATCGAGGCAAACCCTGTCCTTCCGTTTTCCGTTCTTCATCGTCATCGCTTTCTGACCGGTCACGTTCGCCAACACGTCGCCCGCTCGACGCAAGAAACTCGGGAGCGGCTTTTATTTTTCAGGACGTGAATTTAAAGAGCGGCTTTTATGGTCGATCGTGCGGTTGGAAAAAATTGTCGCGTCCACTACCGCACGAACGGACAGATTCGTCGCGGGGGAAGACTTCTCCATTTCCACGACTGTTGCATTATTCTCGTATATTGAGAAAGGCAACCGGCAAGTCTTTCCCGTATTTTCTCGCGATAACACGAAAGAAAGAAAGAAAGAAAGAGAGAGGCAAGCAGCCGGTGTTTTTATTTACTTGAAACGTCAACCTAAAGTCAGCGTTTTTCAAGCTCTCTCGCGCGTGTCCGTGCATATTTATAATTCATTAAGCTGCTCGTCGGTCCGCGTGATATTCATAATGACGACGCGTGTCCCGGTGAAACTTTGCTAAAGCAAGCGAGAAGTAACTTTACGATCTATTTGCACTGTTAACGCCGCGTCGCACGACGACGAGGCGTTATTATGTTGTGACGAGTCGAAAATCGTCGTTCCCGCGACGAACGAAAGAACACACGCCAGCGTATCTTTGCTTCCGCCTGCGCTATTAAACGCTGTTGCAGCAAATGTTACTTAATGACGAATGACACGTAAGACCGAGCCCGCAGCAACTGAAATGCCGCTGATAATTACACATAGTCTTACGAAGACGAGTCGAAGATAAGTCTCGATGTTTCTGTCTCATTTTTCTCTTCTTCTCTCCGAGAGCTCTCTGCGTCACTTGTGTGTCACGATGTTCAAAGTATCGTCGTGTACTTCGACGCGTAAATCGATGGGGAATTGAACAGACAGATTGTGCAACACGGGTTGTGATTGTACCGGCCGGTACAAGTCAGATCCGGGGACAGGAAGTGACAGATACGCGTGGTGGTCTCTCGTCTTCGGCGAGTTGCTGCTCCGTCACATGTCGACACGGAAAAGACAATGACCCTTTCCGCGGTCTCGTGCGGCGTGGTGTCGTTAGAGCGAAGCTCCTAAATCGAGCACGATAAATCATCGGATCGGAAGCAAAACGTGTACCGGCGAAGCCGCCCACGCGTTTATTCGTTAACGGCCGACGCGGCGCGACGTTCTCTCGCCCGTTGACAAACACGTCCGCGGAGAGATACTCCCTAGATAACTATCTCGAGGGGAAGTATATCTTTTCCGATCAGATGCGCGGCCATTTGTCGCGCAGGACAATCCGCGTCTCGTAAATCCTTCTTATCGGAGCTCGCGGCCGGAGATCAAAATGACAAATACTTCGAAAACGAATCCACGCCATCAATTTGTACGTTGTCGTTTCAGCACACACCTAGTGGTGTCATCTTCGAAATCGTGTTGGGGAAACGCTTCGGAGACGCGTCACTCGCGAGGACCTGACAAAGGGAAATTCACATGAGGAGGGCGCATGAAAGATGCGACTAATTCGGAAACAGACGACTCGTGAGCGACAAAGTGCGAACGAAAAAGAGGAAAAGAGGAAGAGAGAGAGAGAGAGAGAGAGAGAGAGAGAGAGGGAAAGAGAGGAAGAGAGAGAGAAAAAAGAAACGGAAGCTTGTCACGTTGAATCCGGCAGCGGCTAAGTACGTAGGAACATATACCCTCTGCATGAAGAGAGCTAGTAGTTTGCGCGAGGCGTTTGATGTGACATATCACATGACCGGATGCGGGGGTAGGTAAATTGGTCGGCAATTGCTGACGCCACCAGAGCTGCAACCTATCGGCCAGTCACTCGCTCATCAACCTTGTTCACCTGTTGACGATTCTCGGCCTGTGCTCGCGCTGTGAATCAGCGACGATCAGCGGGATCTTAGAAATCCGTCGCGTCAATGAGAAACGTCAGCTAGCTGGCAATTTTCCCGAGCAATTTCGGCAATCCGCAGGATGAATCGTTCATTGACGGCGATGTCGACCGGGACGGATCGAACCGCCGTCGCGGTCGCTTAGCCCGTCTCGATTCGGGCTTGGATCTTTGTCGCTGAGTGCAGCGATAAATTCGTCGTAATTCGCGACAACGAGCCCGCGAGAGTGCAACGCGCCTGCGATATTTAAATTCGCAAACTCGATAATGGCGTAGCGATGTCGCGACGCGCATGCAGATGCGCGATATTTATTTTCCACGTAAATCGCATTAAATTAAATCTCTCGCCGCAGAGGAGAGAGAGAGAGAGATGGGGGGGGGGCTAAATTCGGCTCGTCATATTTCACGTCGCTTGAATAAATTTCGCGAATGATTAATTGAATGAGCGGAAATGCAAGGGTTGTAATTCATGTAATCGCGAATCGCGCTGAATAAAAACGACGGGTCGTGCAAACATGAGTCCGAGGGCGAACAGAACGAGCAAATATACAATGAACGTGATATCGCCTAAATAGGCTTAATGTCTCGCTTATCAGATATTTTGAAGAGCTTGTGATAATATGCATATACATACTGAGTATGCGACAATATACTGATTTATCAGATTTATCCAGCGTCGTAAATACGAATATTCGGTGATTATTAATAACCGCGACTAGATATGCAGAATAAATATTATCAATACACGATTCCGAGATAATATCCCCCCCCCACTCGTTGCCATTAGATTTTTATTTCAAGCTCGCGAGGTTCTTTACAATCGGCTACTTCGCGAAGTACGTGCCTCGCCAAGCCTTATCATCGCAACATAATTTCATGCAAAAAATCATCGTCATCATCAGGCCATGTTGCAGCTTTTATTAACGACGGAAAATGTCTTGAACCAAATTTCAGTCTAACAAAACCGTTCGTATCGATAAATCGACATCTACATCCATCCATTCTCGATGCTACCTTGATGAAATTAAAATTCTCTCAGTGTAATCGAATTGATAGAATTGGACAGAAAAGGAGGGAACAACGCGCCTAGATCCTCGACCTGCGGTTTCGTGATCCCTGCTGTCTTAATAGACAATAATGTCTTAATGAACACTTACGACGCTGCCACGTGACTGCGCGGTTTATCCGCCGTCCCAGTTGTTTTCTTCAGTATTCAAATACGGCACGTATACAGAATTCCCGTGACTTCTTTCAGAAACGCGATACTCGGTATTGAATTGATGCGGATTAACGCGAACTTAATTCGCGTCGTATTCTGTGTACGTCGTTTCGCGGCGAAGACAGAGCGGAAATTTGTTTGGCGCGCTACAAACGCGCTACAAATGCGGGCAAAATCATCTGAATAGTACGATAACTCGTGCTCCACATTTAGCAGCTGTGCATTTACCAGCGGTCTGCCTCGGGATTCGAGAGAAAATCGCGCGCCCCGTCGAGTCTCACTTCGCGCTGGACGACGGACGGAAGCTGCAGCTTCCAAATTTCTTCTCGGATGACAGAGTCGAGAGGCGAGATTTCGCGAAGTTTCGTTTCAGCGAGATGACCCGGCACAGACGGAGGATGTGACGAATCATTTAGGGTAGCCGTAGACAGCGGCGGCTGCCAGTTGAAGATGTTAATTCGACGCCCTCTTGACCTCGCGTTACGTTGGAAAAATTGCACCGCGTGCTTGCGCGTCAACTTACGCGACGCGTAAGTTCCTCGATGATTTCGGCAATCGAAGACTTGTCGACTCCTTTCTTATCGCCTTTTGTCGCCGATACCCCCCCCCCTCCCCAAAATATCCATATATTGTCATATATTATCGTACATTATCATTAATATTCCTGATAACATTAGCTCGTCTCGATCCCCCTGATTCTCTTTGTTTCTCCACCGTCGCGAGTCGTGAGTTCTCCTTCGTTGCGAAAAAGTACAGTACAGTACAGTACAGAAGAAATGTGTGAGCTATCGCAGGTGACACGAACAATTCGCGATCACCACGATCACAGGTCGCGATAGAAAATGAGCCGTGCAGTCCGACGGATACGGAGAAACTTTGTAGCCGACAGTTGATCGTTTTGTCCCACGATCACGCGCTTAATCGGGCGTAATCGCGCGTAATCCGCGCTCTGCGGTTCAATTCGTTCGCGCCAATCGTTCTCGTCATCGCCGGCAAATACTTCACGGAAAGTCGAGATCATCCGTAGGTCGGAGGCAGGGGAGCCGGTCATTAGGAAGACACGTAAGTTCGTTCTGCGAACGGGACGGCACGGCGGCGCGCGACATATCGCGCGGCACAAACGCCGGTGCATGCTGCGAAGACAAAGGCCAAGGCAAAATGGGTCGTGAAATCCGACTCTAGACGCACGGGAAAAAACACACCGGCGACGATTAATGCCTCAAGGAATATTAAGCAAATCGTCGAGCGCACTTTGCACGAGATTACGTTAGAGCGGCCCACTCGCACGCGCGCAGGAATCGTCTCTTTCTCCTTCTCGCGTGTCTGCGAGGAGACGAGTACCCGCTGATTCGCTAGTCGCATAATCCATAAGGATAAATATGAGAGACTATCTCTCTTCGATATATTCGAATTACGGAATTATGATGATCGATTTACCGCTTGGCAAAATGTCCAAGTCGTCGCGGACACCTGGCATGATATCCACCTCGAGGCCAGCTTCGGGGCGAAATAAACAGCCGCGCGGACATGAAATTGCAGTCTGATTGCGTTTTAATTGGAATACTACTTTTTTGTTCAAAACAAAGACAAAGACTTGGCGTTTTGAATCGTATTTTTCTTGCGGGGAACAAATCTCAATTCGTTTAATTGGCTAAGGACATTCGGCTGCCTCAAAGCTCGTTTGAGGAATAACTGAGAACTATTGACTAAATGGAAAACTTCCACGGAAATCTTCTTGTTCTTGTACAGCTGCGCTTTCGTCTGGCCTCCAAGGAACAGAAAATTCAATTCAAGTCACACGAACTGAATTTTTTTTTTCGATATATATTTATCTCTCTCTCTCTCTCTCTCTCTCTCTCTCTCTCTCTCCCTTTCTCTTTCTCTCTCCAAATAAGTGAACGAAAAAAATATCGAAATAAAAATCGATGCTTAGATCTTTGTTTTTTAAGAGCCATCTTATCTCCTCCCGAGAACCATCATTGCCCACTCGCAGCACGTGACGTGAACGCCTCAAATGCCTCATTATCAGGAAATGAGTGTCGCCTCGACAGTGGCAGAGCAGCGTACACGATCGCTGTCGTGTTTCCCCGGCGAGTACGAGCGTGTCTCGGCGGTGAAAGAGAGAAAGTCGAGTTTACCTCGGTCACAAGGGTGCTATCGTAATCCCTGGTGTCGTAGTCCCATCCGTATCGACACTCGCTGACCGGCCAATCGGGACTACTGACCGGCGGTGACGGCAATCGACTCGGTGGATGAAACAACGAAGACATGGTCGACGTGGAGGTGTCATCGGTGGCGTTGTGCTGACTGGCACGTTGCAGCCACGAATCGATGATCTCCGTATAATTCACATCGTACATTTCACACTTGGAGTAGACTCTCCTGCCGTCAGACTTGACCGAGTATGGCAGCGAGAGGGCTTTCCTGTCCTCCAAGGTCATCAAATCCGTCAGATTCTCCAGCTCCGGTATCCTGCACCAGTGTTCCGGCGAGGCACTCACGAACACCTGTTTCACAATCGCGAGTCTTAATTAAGATCAAGTAACTCGAGCCCGCGAGTAATATAAACCTCGAAAACTCCAGAGTGCCTCGGGAGTAGACTGAATTACTCTCTCTCTCTCTCGCGCGTGTCTACTCTTTAGCATTTCGTAATATCGTCAATTTCGCAATGTTCGATCCTGCCCCTGACGACCCTGGTGGAGGAGGATCTTTTCGTCAGAGAGTCCACTAGCAGCGTAACGTTCATTATATTACCGTATTTCTTGCCAAATAAATTAACACAACCCGTCTGCACAAGACCCGTAACTGTAAACTCGTCGTCTGATCAAATAATAATTTCGTGCTTTAAAACTGATTTAAAGTACTAACAAATATCTCTCATTCCTCCTCGAGATTCTTTATTCAACGCGCCCTTCTATCACTACGCAAAATCACAGCAACCCCCATTAGTCTGTTTCGATGCCTCAACGATCCCCGCGCGCAACCGAGCGCAACGCTCGTCGGTCGAGACGGTGGTAGCTGCGAAGGGTACAACCTACCTGCGAGAACGCCAAGAAGGCGGCCGGCAAGGTGGCGGGTATACATAGCAAGTAGTACATGATGTTCTGGTATCGGCCCTTCTCTCCCACGTGTACCAGCACCTCGTCGAAGTCGATCGAACTCATCTTCCCGGCGATGGCGCTTTGCCGCGTCTCAACAGCTTCACCACGACGGGGACGACGGCGACGACGACGACGACGACGACGACGACGACGACGACGACGACGACGACGACGACGACGACGACGACGACGACGACGACGACGACGACGACGACGATGACGACGACGACGGCCACCACGGCGACGATCGTGCACGATGCGACGGTAGCGTGGTACACCTTCGAATTACACGGCATGACCGCCGTCGCTCATCCTCGAAGGCAGCCACGCCGAATTACAAACGCACGTTCTCGCGCCCCCTTCGTCCGCACCGACGCACCGAGGAGGAAACTTCCCTCCTTCTTGCCGCGCTCTGCCTGCCCTCCCCCTCGCGTCTCTTCCTCCTCCTCCTTCTTCTCCGCCTTCTTCTCGTCCTCCTCTTCCGCCTCCTCGTCCTCCTGCCCCTTTGTTTCCCTCTGATATGCCCCCGGCGAGCCGAATCGTGCTGTTTCGAGAGAGAGAGAGAGAGAGAGAGAGAGAGAGAGAAGGAGAGAGAGAGAGAGAGAGAGAGAGAGAGAGAGAGAGAGAGAGAGAGAGAGAGAGCGCGACGGCTTTTCCACGTTTCGGACGCGTGCTACGACGCGGCGAGCGTCACCTGGCACACGGGGCCCAAGGTCACGCACGGTACCGCCAAGGTCACGATTAAGTTCAACGAGTCGCGGCCGATTGGGACCGCGCTGATCTGCATCGGGCTGGGATGAGCGTTCTGCCGGACGTCCGTCATACGATCGCGTCGCATCTCATGTCTCATATCGCACGGCTATCAGTCGAGTCCAATCAGCGCCGACGAAGAAGAAACCCCCGGAGGGCTCGCCCGAAGGGCGCCAAGTCACAATCACGATGCAGCTCGTCGATCAGTTTGCTTCTCCGCGGCCGAGTCGGGTCATGGTGTGCTTCTGATCGCGAAATTCTGAGGTTCGAGAGAAAGAGGGAAAGGGAGGGGGAAAAGGAAGTCCGGATTCTTCAGGACGCGGAACTAGGCGCGTCTGGCCACGGACGGTTTGTTTTCACTTACGGCGCGACTCCTCGCTCTCTCACCTCCTCGCTCGCCTCGACCTGCGCCTTGTGTCAGTCGACGAAGACACATGAAGCCTCCCGCGAGCGGTCGCCGCAGCAGAGCCGGGGATTATCCCGTGCGATCGCCTCGAGCAGTCTCAAGAGCGTCATCGAGAGTGCACTCGCGCGCGGCCCTCGAGCTCTCCCCGCGGTCGTTCGATGAAACGCGCCTTACTTACGTCAACTACTTCCACTGAAGATACCGATTTACACACGATCGCGGCACTCTCACCACGTCGACGTTCACTAACCCCCGCTCTGTTTACGGAAGTGACGCGCGTACATCGCTTGATTCTCTCTCTCGCGGCGGTCTTCGTGTCTCTCTTTCTCTCGGACGCGTGCATGCGTGCGTTCGTTCACTCAGCAAAGCGCGCTCTTCCGCGCTCGTTGCGGCTCGCTGCGACTGGAAGCGCGCGCGTCTCGGCACCGTTCGCGGCTCACTCGCGACAACGCATCTAGTTTCGCGGCCCGAGGGACTGTCCCTTCATCCTCCGTTCAAGCTCCGCGTCCGCCCACCACGTCACGATCGCGATCACGAGAGCGCGTAGATCCCGCTGGATCCGGCCGTCGCGAGAGAGCGCGATGTCTCTCTCTCGTCGCGCAAGTTCTCCTCCGCTGCTGCTTCTCCACGTCCACGTCCTAGAGCGACAGAGCGGCTCGAACGCCGCGGGCATCGCGGCCGCAGCGATCAGCCATTGCCGGAGAAGACCTCCTCTCTTCTGACCCTACCGAACATCATCTTCGTCGGAGTCGCTGCTCCACCTCCTCCCGCGGCTGATCAAGAGTCGCCGCCGTCGCTCCTCGTCGAGCGCCTCGCCGCAGTCTCCGAACGTTCGTCCGCCTCGCCACTTCGTTCTCTCTGTCGCTCTTCCTCTCTCTCTCTCTCTCTCTCTCTCTCTCTCTTGCTCTCTCTCTTGCTCTCTCTCTTGCTCTCTCTCTTGCTCTCTCTCTCTCTCGCTCTCGCTCTCTCTTTTTTCTCTTCCTCTCTTTCTCTCTCTCTCTCTCTCTCTCTCTCTCGTTCTCTCTCTCTCGTTCTCTCTCTCGTTCTCTTTCTCTCTCTCTCTCTCTCTCTCTCTCTCTCTCCCTTCCTCGGTCTCTCTTCTGCAAACGAAATTCCCTTTATAGCTATCGCTCATCTGTCGCGAATATTACTCGCTATTCGCTAGTTTCCGCGTGCAACTCGCGCGGTAAGTCTCATAATGACAATAATAACGCCGGACGGCGGCGAACTGACGTAAGAATTGATTCCGTATGCGTCCGCCGTGAAAACGGAAAACAGCGCGGAAAAATAGTGCCAGATACGCGAAACGGTTATCGAGGAAAAACGCCCGCGGGTTGATATCGCGGTTACCGGTTAGAAATGATAAGAGTAAATATCGCGAAACGGCAGCGCACGCGCGCGCGAGATTATCTCTCTTGGCAGCGAAAACAAAAGGAACTCCCTGCGATGACCCACATTTTGTTTCTTTTTCTCTTTTTCCCCCGACACGGGGGAAATGAAGAAAGGCTTTTTATTGCTAAAGCCCGCGCAGGCTTTCCCTCTGAAGAGGCGCACTTTTCAGCCCGCGATTCATCTCTCCTCGCCTCTGCCGACTCGGCGGCCATGAAGATACGATCTTTCGGACGATCGTGCTTGAGACTGTTATTATAATAACACGCGATCCTCATCGTTACAGAATCCCAACGACTCTCCGCTTCATTATCCGGAGATATCGATGCGTTCGCACGCGTCGTGCGAACTTGACAGGGACTGCCCTTGCTCCGCGACCATTCTCTTGCCGCTCTTATAATTTCGGGAGCTCTCATCTTCGTTGGATTTCATTCGAACGCTTGAAATCTGCGCGATTACTTCTTCGGAGCGTTAATCTCTCACATCCGTCACACGAGAGTTTTCATCCTTTTCCGTATGGCCTCTAATCGCGACAGCATGTGTCGAATAACTGACCACGGCAGAATGTTCCGAGCGATCACGAGATCGCACGGTCGTGCTTTAAAAATCTCGATCTTCCAATTTAGATCGCGCGCTCTTATCGCTCTTGTTATCGCGAACCGCTTGTTAACCGAAGTCGCATTTAGATCGCGCTTAGATCGGTTACCCGCAATTAAAAGTAATCGCTGTGGCGATCGCGAAGCGGGCGGAAAATGTGCGAATGGCGCGAGAGAAGCGCCGCTAGACAATGGAAGTGAGTAACGACGCGTCTTCGGGTCTCCTAAAGAAAATATATTCTGTTATTCTCACGTGGCGAGTCACGCTGTTTCCCACGGCGAAACGCGCGGGAAACGTTGCGAAGCAGATTTTCGCAAATCCGCACGCGTTCGCTGCCGGAGGAGGAGGTTCGCGCCGCCACCAACGGCCAACGTCATACCGCTGACACGAGCCAGTAGTTCTCTCCCATTATGTGTGAAAAATGCTCGCCTTCCTATCGAACGACGATAGAAATAATAACAGGCGACATTTCTACGCCGCACGTTACAGTCCGTGCGACAAGAGGCAGAGGGGAGTAAACACATTTCCGTGCAGCCCGCTCGTAAATTATGATGATTGCGCGCCATTGCGGGCAGGTTAATCATTAACTCTTTACAACTTTACACTTCGCAAGCAGGAATAATAGAAATCTCATGCAGTTACAACTATTGCTCATATCGCTCACATCTACACGACGTAGCTCAGCGATTAACCGACGGCCCCGAGAAGAAAGATTACCATAATCGTCTCGTATTTTATTATGTGCAATTAATTTTTAACCGAGAGCTCCTGTTACTCGCTATAACATCTTGCTCGCTGTATCCGATATAATTTATTTCTCATCACAAGAAACACGAGTCCTTGATCGTTCGATAATTATATCTTGCACTCGGCAAGGCGAGATGTTAGTTCTTTTTGTAAGCGAAATGATGAAATTGCATTTCCGAACGGCATTCGCGCTATTTCAGGCCGTAATTTCGTTCGTCGAGGTATTCCTCGGCTAATTTTAAAATTTTGTATAATGACATATCGTAGGATATGCATAAATTATAGCTGGATGAAACCGTCAGAGTCGCATGTCTACGTGCTTGTTGATAAATTGATATCGTCACGAAATCGTCGTCGACGATCGGATTGTCGCGTGGCTCGCGTCTGTCTCCCTCGTGCGACTGTTTTTTCCTTCTCTTTCTCCTGTGTTGTTCTATTTTCTTGTCGGAAAGTCCCCTTTCTGCCCAAGGATTCGATAAGGACGGTCTCGCAGACGCAGAATGTTGCAAATTTTGTTTGCCGTCTCTCATTGAGAGAGCGCTCATTATCAGAGTCTCGTCGGAACGTGGCGTGATCGTTCCTGCCAATCTGCGAAAATTCTGACGATGTGAAGTACCTCGCTGTTTACAGATTTATAAGCCAGAACTAACAGTTTCATAATCAAGCTGACATCACCGTCGGCATAATAACGTGTCTGAATTTTGTGTAATTTCGTGGCGTGACAGATGTGCTGCTGTGCGCCGACAATAACATATCCTCGACCTGTTTGAATGTACAATGCCATAATTCACATTTTTATTACCGTCAGAGGGGAGTTCGCGGCGAAAGATGTCACAAGTTGGCTTTAGCGATTTGTTATTTCTCGCGACTGCAACGCGAATTCGCCTTGCTCAGCTTTGTCGATGAGTCAAATTCGCGCTCTCGTCCCTCTCGTCGCTCTCGATCGAGATATATCTCGTCGATTAGGATCCTCCAGCGATCCTGGCCTATTTCGCCAGGATTAATTTATCGAGAAACTCAAAACGCGCACGGGACCTGAGACATTTCGTATGCTTTGTCAGCAACTTATGAGCGAATGACGAGCGATGGAGTCTTGAGGAATATCTCAAGTTCCTATAATAAAACTTTTCGGGCCACGATAATTTATCGGTCGACAATAAAAAATCTTAACCAAACGAGACTCAGCTCTGAAAGCTCTAAAACGCTCGGAAACGAGGCGAGTCTCCAGACAATGAATTAAACTACAACGCTGCCCGTTCTACTTGCGTACACCCGAGTCCTAATGAGACACACGCGTGGTTCCTTCAACCTGCAACCGCCGAGGTCGCTCGCCATGGCGCTTTTTCTATTTACCAGCCTAGCCGCTGACGTCGGGTAATCCTAGACCCCGGGGCACGCCGTTCGCGCGAGCGCACGCAACGCGTGCACACTTGCGCCTCTCATTGTTCGTTACAATTACGAGTGACGTCACGGGTGCAAACAATGTCATTCCGCTTCGCACGCCTTCGCATTCTCTCTGGCCATCCCTCTCCTTCCTTCCTTAAACGCGCGCGACTCGGCCGTGTTCTGTCTGCGCGCCTCGCGCGATGCACGCGAATCCGCGCGCCTACGCGATTCCTCTTAGACTCGCGTCGTCGCGTTCCTTAGATGTAGTTCTCACGTAGCGTAGGACGTCCCGCGATTTCACGAAAGTCGCGCGCGCTCTCCTCGTTCTTTCGCGCTCTATGCTTTATCTTTCGCACTCTCGTGTTATCCGACATTTGTCGCTTTTCCTTCTGGACATTCTCGTAGCGTAGGACATTTCGCGACTTCGCTGAGGTCGCGCGCTCTCTCTCTCTCTCTCTCTCTCTCTCTCTCTTTCTCTCCCTCTCTCTCTCTCTCTCTCTTCCTTCTTCTAGATCTTTAGTATCTGTTTTCTTTTATATTTCTCTGATATCTGATATTTATTTCTTTTCTTCTTTTCTTTATTCTGCGGAGCTCGCTACGCATTTCTTTGCGCTCAGTTTCACTTTTCGTAGTAGCACGATAGTCGTGTGATTTGGATAGATAATCTCGCGACTTATATATATATATATATATATTGCTTCGAGAAAGAAGAAATCTGTGGGGTTAAGTAAACTGAGATTTACTCTCGACGAATGTTATGAAACATCGAGGAAAATCACGATTGCTCTTTGATGGCATTCGATGAACGGGCGAAAACTCTTAAAAGTGCTCAAGAGCGTTATGATGACGACGAGAACGACGGACATGTGCGATGATCTCAATAATATTTGTTTATAGACGCAGATGCGACATATCCCGTAGATACACATTTAGTCTATGAAACTTTGATCAAATGTTTTCCCCGATAAGGCGAAGGCAACTAAACTTTTACATTCACTCATGTATTATAAACGATGCATTTCGCGTGATGTTTTAATCATAAGACGCGCAAAACACGCAAAACAGGAAACGCATAATCGGCCCTGTAATCGGGTTTACCAAACTTCCTATTTTATCACGACGAAAGTAATGTGCGCCAAGTGATACATTTTAAATGAGGATACATGTATCGATCCGTTGCAATGTTGCACGTGCTTTGAAAATATATTGAGAAACAGCAAACGGTTGTAATTTGCTAATTTGTTTTTTGCTATTGCCAATGAATCTCATCAATTTTTTTCCCGACAAATGCGTCGATGACATCGCGCTCTGTGGAATCTCGGGGATAATACGTATCAATCGTCAGAATTGATTCCGAGAATCAATCAGCCGTGCACGCGTCTTCGCACCTGGCAAAATTTTAATCTGGGTGAAATTAAGGATGTGGTCATCTCTATCCCGGCAATAGTATAATAGCCCTGCCTAGATAAGAGAAATGGTAGCGGATGACGTGCTTCACTATGACGTCGATTCTTTGACGTGATCAACTGATTGGACGCGCCGCATAATACAAGGAAGGAAATGCAAACACAAGGAAACTTTGCCTCTACCTGGAAGAGTTTCCCTCAGCTAGCAAGACTGTTTGCACGTTCTTTTTCCTTTCTTATAAACTGATAAACGGAAAATAAACTCTCCCCAACCACTGAATCGGAAGGAACTTCGTAAAATTCTTACTCGGCTTATCTTGGCTACGTAAATCAGACAAAAAGACAACTCTCTCCATTGTTTCGATTATATAGACTAACCCTTCGATCTTACCGATATCGATCACCCTGCGACCCTGCGATTTCCTGCCCACCACGGGAATCTAAGAAAGCCCCGATGAAGCGCGCGCGCGCGTCCGGCCGCCGCTTCCTCTGCGTTGCGCTGATTGAAATGCGACAGCGCGTAGATGGGGCTGATGACGAGGATGATGACGATGATGACGACGATGCTCTCACTTCGATGGACCACCACCGCCGGTGAGCCAGCCGAGACTTCGCCGCCTTGCTTCCTTCCTTCCTTCCTTCCTTCCTTCCTTCCTTCCTTCTTTCCTTCCTTCCTTCCTTCCTTCCTTCCTTCCTTCCTTCCTTCCTTCCTTCCTTCCTTCACTCCTTTCTCCTTTCTCCTTTCGCCAGTCGCACGCACACAAACGCGCGTTACTTTATATTATGACGGTGTACAGTCTAACAAATTTAACCGTACAGCAGCTCGCTCGCGAGCACGAAAGCACCCACATATACACGCAGTGAGACACGCACGCACACTTACGCGCACTTAACGCGGCACTCGGAAGTTCGGTGGAAGCCACGAACACTCTTCAGCGAATCAATCGAATCACTGCACCGCCCGGCATCCGGTCACCTCCGTTCTGCCATGACGACGTGTACGTATTACGCGCGCTTCGTTGCAAATAACGCTCCTCTAGGTCGTCGCTTACCACCGCGCGTCATCGTCATCATCCCCCGCACGTGAGCACCACCAGTTTGCCGGAAGCGCGCTCGCGAGGCCGAAGGGCTGAGAGCAAGGAACACGCTCTCTCGATTCGAGATACGGAGGACGGGATCGGAGGTTGCCCGGTGCCTCTTCGGGACACTGATCCGCACGATGTCCCTGTTTCGATTTATTATCTATCCCCCCGCTGTCTTCTACCACCAATGTCTCCTTCTCGTCGTTGCTTCGACGGCCACCTACTCGCCACACACATACACACACTCGCTCTGTCCTCCTCCCCCTCTCAGTCACACCCTCTCGCCTCCTCCTGCCCTATCTTACCCTTACTGCGCTCTCTTCGCCGCGTCCTCCTCCAACTCACCCTCTGTTGCGCGAACTCTTCTCTCTTCGCTTTTCTTCTCTCCCCCGGCTATATTTTACCTCGTCCGCGCGCACTTCCTCTCTCTCTCTCTCTCTCTCTCTCCCCGTGTCTCGTTTCTTCTCTTCCTGCTCTTAATCTCCTTCTTTCTTTCTTTCTGTCTACCTGACTCCAGGAAAGCGAGGAGTGTGCGCCTATTACACTACCTATTACCAAAAGGAGCAAGTAGCCTCCATCGCGAACTGGAACTGAGGCTACAGTGTGGATGCAAGGGGTCCGCGCGTTATCCCGTCCTCGTATCTATCATTTCGAGGCCCCCCTTCCCGTCCCCCTCGGACTCCTCTCTCAGCCGTCCCGCGGATCCGATCGCTCGATCTTCCTCGATCGAGCGTACGAGCCTCTCTCGGGCCCTCTCGCTCCCCCTTCCCACCCCTTCCACTTCCCTCAACAATCCTCCGGGACCCCTGTCCCCTGGGTCCCCCCGTCACAAGCGAGGTGGCCCTCTCGGTAACGCGACATAGGCGGCTATCTCGACTATTAATATATAGAAGAGGGTTCCTCGCACTCGCCGCCCGGTAATTGTGCCCGCGCGGCGGCGAGCACAACGCGGTGCTCTCTCGCCGATTTAGATTTCCACACACCGGCCTGAACCCTTTCTCGCCTGCTGTCTCTCTGTGTCTCTCACTCTTTCTCTCGACGGTCTCCATCGGTCCGATTCCAACAATCGCGAGAGCAACTCGCCGATAGCTGTGCGCTATGATCGAACATAGCCGAAGGAACGCCATCACGAGAATGTGTGGCTCTTGGTTTTTGGAAAAAGACGAGGAGACGAGCTCCATTCGGACGAATGTTGGAGTACAACTCGACCGAATAATTCGTTGCTTCAATCTCGATCAATTGTTATTAATATTGGAGCAATTCCCTCAAAATTGGCGAGCAACTTTTCTAACGTTTCCTTCGGTGTAAGCGACCACACACACACACACACACACACACACATCTCCCCTTCGCTCTCCTCTTTGACTTTCTATCCTTTTTTTTTCCTCTTGTAGTTTTTATTTTATGGTATAATTGAAGAGAAACTAGGATCTGTTGGTCTTTGGGAAATGATTCTTCCTGTTTATCAAAGTTTCAAGAGTGCAAGGGTGTGTGCATCAATCATGGCCGAATGGGATCGGAAGGAACACCTTGTCGCTTCATTTGAATAAGAGCACTCGGTATCGGGGTAAGATACCGTCGTCCAAGTATCACATCCGCATACTCAAACCGGAGCTACAGCGGATGTTATTGAAGCAGGTCCGCGCAGCACAGGATATTGTCATACTAAATTTTGCATTTGTGCATTTAAGCACGTTATCGCGATGAAAGTGCGCGAAATCAAAATAGAAAGCATGGATATAATTTCGAAAAAAAGCGAAACACGTTTCGTATACATATCATCTCTCACAACTCGATTTCTCCCGCAAACGATGTTAACTTCTTCGATAAATGCATATTTCATAAAATTATAAAATGTATCTCAGAATATATTGATCAAGCATCAGAGACAGAAACCTGCAGATTTTGATCTTGCAGATTTTGATCTTGATATTGACCGTGAAATAAATATCAAGATTCAGAATTGCTTTTCATTAAATTTCATTAAATATAAAATATAACCTTTCCTACCTTTCTCAACTTTCACGATTTTGATTAATAATTTTGTTAATATAAAGCTCTATGTGGAGTATCGATTTTAAAATTCCAAGTTTGGAAATCCAGGATCTTAAAAAAAATATTTACAACACAGGACTTTAATCCAATACAATTTCGTGAAAATTCCTCTACCGGGAGTCTGGTGGCTTTAACGCAGGGTGCAACAGTTCATAGATACGTACTGGTCGCCTTAGCAACGGCAGCATGGCAGCGCCTAGTGCACGTGCGACGTTGAACGCTGTCAGTTATGTGCACGGTCGTGCAATTTTGCAACATATGGACTATATGTAGTTTCGATTTCTTTTCAATGTCAGATTGCATCGGACCGAGCTGTAATCACTCTCGTAGGGGTACATCACGTAGGGATAGCAAGCCGAATCACGTGAAATGCCTGAATTTTGGGCAATCGATCCTCGAGCTCGACGTCGCAGACCAACTTGGCTGCTTCGCGATGTCGAATGATGTTCTCGTGATCGACCAGAAAGTAGCTCGCATACCGCGCACTGAGAAGAAAGACTACGTGCGCAAATGGATCGAGACTCATGAGAACGGTCAGCCCGATTTGAACGATGATTTGTCCCAATTATCTCCGGTTCTCGGAACCTCGACGACTGAAACTCGCGAGGGGTCGCCGGTACTCGGTAACAGTGGAAAACGACATAGAAAAGGAACCTGTACAAGTAGGCACGCTGCAACGAGAAGCGTGGATAAGACCGAAGAGCGTGGAAGCCAGGAACAGAATGCACAGTACTCTGCAAACTGTATGATACAACGGGATGATGGAAGGGAAGGAGAAGACCGGAGCAAACAGGAATACTTACATAGGATTCAGTGCACACCGCCTTCTGCAGAGATGATTGCTGATGGATCTCCTGTCCTTGGCACACGTTTGTATTCTTATAAGAAAAAACGGAGAAAATTATTGCATGGAACAGAAGGCTGTGCTCTGTCAAAACGTTTGAAATTATATAATGATAAAATCACAAACAGACACACGGTGGAGTCTGATAATAATTATGACACTCTGAATAAGAAGTCTGTAGATCACAATGAGTCAGAAGAAGATTCAGATAGTGATGCTGAAGAAACTGTTTTCCAAATTGAAACAGAGGAAAGTCCAGAAAGATTACAGATATGTACAAAGATGCTTTTATCATCAATACCACAGATATTGAGCTCTGAGGATGGCTCAAGTCATAACAACAACAAGGCTAACCTAAGAATAGAAATAGATACCAGTGATGAAAGTAATGAAGAAGAACATAATAAATTTTCAAGTACAAATAACAGTACCAACAATAGTGTGAGTAATATTATTGAAGAAGTCGATACACAGGATACGTTACCTGTCGTGGGAACATCTCAGCTTATCTCATCCAAATCTTTGTTCACCTCTGTGTCTCAATCTAAGCCCTCGCAACTGACCGCCAATGATTTAAATGCAACTTATTGTTCCGAGGCAGAAATAATACAGGATCAGAGTGTGCATTTATCTGCGAAGATCTCTCTAGTACCATCTTTGACTAGAGAAGCTACAGGGAGTAAGTCAACACAGACTCCCATTATTAGTACGATAAGCACTCCCTCGAAAGTGTCCTCGGACAAAATCATGTATGCGCGCCTATTAGATTCTGGAAAGAAACGCCCCAAGCCTAAGAAGTAAGCAAATCTAACAACCGTGATACAGTTTCACAATAACGCAATTTGCATTGTCTAATGTTATGTTGTTGTTACAGGGGAAGCATGGTTGCAAAACTACAGTCTCTGATCAACACGCAAATATCCAGCATTCGTATTTGGCGTCATCGGATGAATAAGAAGCATGATGCTGTCTCAGCGCGATTTATTAGCGTATTCGTGCGCGATTGTTTCAAGCGGTTCGGTAATCAATTTCTAAAGGGTATTCTAGTCGAGGATCGTTTCAATCTTTTACAAAACGACATAGAAATCGAGGAAACGGAGTCTTGTAATCTTAAAACTCTATCGAGGAAAGCCTCACGCAGAGATTTGACTATTATGCTAGTCTGTGATATAGTCGGTACGTTGAAAATGTTGTCGGAAGTTGTAATAAATGTTCATCCACCCTGGGACATTTTAGATAAAGACAATCTTACTTTAGAAGCAATATATATAAGCATTAATCACAATCATGATATATCTGACTTGGATCCTGGTAAGGACAATTCGTGTACACATGATAAACGAATTGTCAAAGAGTTTAACTGTCCCTGTATAGAAGAAGAGAGAGAATTACCGTTTTGTGCGAGAAGACCTAACGCTGATAAACCTGATGTGATGCAACGAATATTTGATTTCTGATATATTTTGATATTATTATATTATTGCGTTTTATTCGCGCACATCCAGGCTCTACATTGTAATTCCACAGCACTACCGATTCACAAATGATTTACATATTATATGTGTTTCACTTTTTTTCTAAACTATTTCTGCAACTATACTCTTATAATGAGAATGCTTTTATCTTATGTCTCTTAATGTTCAAATGTTCTGATTTACAGTTTTATTTAGGGACATATAACTGTGATAATCTGATTATGTAAATTGATTAGTTTATGTTTATATATGAGTTAATATTATTTTTAGTTTAACGTTACTGAAAACAATAAATGTTAAAAGAATGACCACAATCAAGTACAGTTGTTACTATTCAAGTACAAATTAAAGTTCGTTTATAATATGTGATATTACTTTTATAAGGGAACAATGCATTATTGTTATAAAACAATTTAACATTTTATATCATTGATAAAAGTCATTGATATCATTCACAAATTATATTTTTAAAATAAACGAAAGAGTTTTGTTTTTGAGATGTAAATAAAATGAAATAAAATTATATTTGAAAACGAATTGTAAAATTTTTTGAAACAAATAAATATAAGTTAATTTTCGCAGAAAGTGAAGTTCTAGATTTCTATGTAATCTAGAAATAAACAATAAATAAAATAAGCGTTTAATCTGTCGTTGAACATTACTTCGATTTCGAATTTTCGTTGAAAACAGCTATTTATATAACGGATATTTTAATATTAATAACGGGAAAATAACGGGTCTGTTTCAGTCTACTCCAAGTGGATTATTGTTTAGCCAAGATTCACACCCGTAGGCATCACGAGGTTTTTCCTCCTCACCGCTAAATGGCGCTAGGCAGTCCATTGAGTCGTATCTTACAGGTCTAGCTGTTATTCCAAAGTGTAGTTTCACATCAAAAGATGTCTCTGTATCTTATACAATTTATTATTCAGTGTTCTCTCCCGTGTATTGTGAAAGGTGATTCAGTTTCGAGTTGACTTGAACGTATTTTTTACATTGTAATCACGTTTGATAATCACATTATCGTAGATAAACGACTAAAATTAACAGTCTATATTGCACAGAAGTAAGCAATCTGCAGTGCTATTTCAAAATCATTTTACCGTTGACGTGTGACGTGTCCCATTTGACAGTAGATGTGATATCAATTAGATATATAATTTAACTCAAATTTGCGTAGCGTTATGTTAACAATATATTGTTTTGTTTAATTTTTACAATAAATGGCTGTAATTATCATTGTTATGTGTCCATAACCTAAGACGTTTTTGAGGACTTGCTTCTTTTACAGTTCTGATAGATAATGTCAGTAGCTCAGGATCGACCAGAATTATACGAAGAAGTAAAGCTCTACAAAAATGCTCGTGAGAGAGAAAAGCATGACAATCAAGCAGATTTGTATGCTGTGGTAAATACATTGCAACATTTGGAGAAAGCTTATATCAGAGATTGTGTCACGCCAAAGGAATACACAGCTGCATGCAGCAAACTGTTAGTGCAATATAGAGCAGCATTTAAGCAGGTAGGAATTAAGAGTATGAGGTAATACTGCCTTCCAATACATTTGAAAATATATTTATAGATATATTATTCTAACAATCAACTATATATCACTATAGGTACAGAGCGATCAATTTCCAACAATTGATTCCTTCACTAGAGCATTCCGCTTGGACTGTCCAGCTGCTCTGGAGAGAATCAAGGAAGACAGACCAATCACAATAAAGGATGACAAAGGCAATACTTCCAAATGCATCGCAGACATTGTTTCCTTATTTATTACACTTATGGATAAGTTACGTCTGGAAATTCGAGCCATGGATCAGTTGCATCCAGATCTAAGGGATCTCATGGATACCATGAATCGCCTCAGCATACTACCGAGCGATTTTGATGGTAAAGAAAAAGTTGCAGAATGGCTCCAGATCCTCGACAACATGTCCGCCTCAGACGAATTGTCCGACACTCAAGTTAGACAACTGATATTTGATCTAGAAACATCCTACAATGCTTTCAACAAAATTCTCCATAACTCCTAATCTTTTGTACCTAATCTTTCTGCATTATCTATAATATAGACCGCGATATATATATGGGCTGTAATATTATACGTTTGAACAGAATAATTCAACAGATAAATTCAACTCTTATTATTTGCACGCATTGTATTCATTCATTACTAGTTTGTTACTTTTATCTCGACAACTTAACCAGTGCAAAGAACTTTCAGTCATTCTTATTTACTGTACATACCGTCACGATAAGGATATTGGAGTTTTTATTATAGATAATATTAATTAAATCAATTATGAATATATTCATGATGTTTTCATCTAAATTGTTCTTGTGACATTCAAGTAACATTATGTTACCTATTTTATACTTTAATTATACGTGAGGCTCACGGCATAAGAATCCTACTACGTTAAAGAATCGGACTATGTTATAAAGAAAGAGAGATATGTATAAAAAATATATATATATATACATATTAATATATATATATAATCTACATATACAAATACACATTAACAAAGAATACTGAACAGAGAGTCAGACTATTTTATATATTCGTTGCAAACCAACAGATCTGTCGAGCGATACTTGCATCGTCGACTAAATTAACTAAAGAGCGTAACAGCTATAACGAAACCGCTACACGGAAGAATACTCGATTTACGTAAACGAACATCGCATTGAGGCGATCCCTCTCACCGGCCAGCCATCCACAATCGGCTCCATTTCGCCGAGAATGATATACCGCCCTGAACGCCCTTTGTTCATCTCGAGAGACTCGCGAGGCTTTCCAAGGCGGCCCGGCAACAACCGCGTTTTATCAGCGCGCGTCAAGACCCGGGGGCTCTCGGCGGCGCGTTTAACGTGCAACAATGACGCCGGCGCGCTCAAAGCCGATATTTCGTCGGTTCTGTTTGCGGGCGATGGTAACGCGCGGGGGTTAATTCGCGCTGCGTCCCTTTGATGTGCCAAGAGCAGACTTTTCCGAGTCGTATTTACGCGGGCACACCCGGTATGCAAATGAAGAGGGTGGTCCTTCGGCGCTCGCTGATGCGCGCGCGCCGGGCGCGCGGAGTACAATAACGGCGCGCACAACTATTGACTAAACTAAACTAAACTAAACTAAATTAAACTGAGCTAAACTAACAGCCAGGTTGTATCTGCAGTCGCAGGGCCCGGCTGCATCTCGCCGCGCCTGTGTTCGTGCGCGCGCGTGCATCGGCGCGCGGTGTCACTTGGGGAAATTTACATGCAATAGGAATGCCATTAGTACTCGCCCGTGAGAGCGAGCTTAGACAGTTCCGGCCCTCGAAGAAACACGTATCTTCGGCTCGGCTTCTTCGCCAGCCGGCGTGGCGAAGTCGCCGTAGACACTGAAACTCGCCGAAACACCGTATTACCTGGGACTATACTGACGCACCTCACGACAAAATTGCTCGTATCGTATCGTACAAGACGGTCGAATCCTTTTTTCCGATCGTTCAACGGCTGCGGATCAATTGCCGAACGACTACTGGTCCGCAGCAGAATCTCGTTTTTTTGCAACACCTGGTGTTCGATGGTGTCAATCTCACGCGAAAATTGCAGACCTTCGAGTCCTAGCCCTTGCGCGCACCTTGTGTGTATTCGACGAACGTTTCGGCGGATTGGGGTTCTTACGGCGAACTAGTCGAGTCCCGACCGACTTCTCCTTCAGAATATCGTAAATCGAGCCACACCTTTAAGCGTGTCATTTTGGTCCCGATCTCCAAATCCGTCTTCCGCCGGGCCCGATTGAGGCTTATCAATGCCAAACTTTAAGATGTCGGGCCATTCTACGCGTTGCGACGCACTTTGGAGCGCGCGCGCGCGCGGTCTTCATCCAACCTTCCAAATAAGGATGATCCTCTCAAGGCAATCCCGGAGCTATTTCAGCTCGGCTCGAACATTGCCAAGCCATTCTTTCGCCGGGCGTATATCTTTCCGGACACAAGCCGCCGCCGAGATGTGTGCACACGCGCACGCACACCCTCGCGACGTCGGCTTATCCGTCAATCTGTTCGTTTACCTGACGGTGTTATTTCAATATAAATCACTCGGTCCCGCCGACGAATATGCTTGCCTTTGACAGGGTGATTTCGCTCCCTTTTTCACTTGTGCCTTCATATAAAAATTCAGATTTCGCGGGACGATTCGGCAGCTGCGGAAAATCAAAGACTTTGATGTACGGTCTTTCGGTCGCGCCGCGCGCGCGTCTATGCGCGACATACGATGTGCAAAAATGAATCGATCACCGCCACGTCGGTTATTGCCGATGGTTATATTGGCGATGAGAGGAATGCAATTATTATTGTACATCCCGACCAAGTCGCTCGCCTCGCGCGCGACTAGTTCGCGACGGGAAATTGCAGTCGCTGTTGAGATTATACATCACCAAATTATCGCCGTTGCATTACGCGCTCGCTGTATTAGCGCCAATTGTCAAATATCGCACGCGTGGAATTTCTCACATCCGACGCTGAACACTTACGCGCTTCGATCGGAGGAACAAATTCAGCTGTCGTCGCGTGGAACTTCAGAAAATTATCGTTGTTGTATCAAATACCGTAGGCGCGGAATTTCTTACAGCCGGTTGAACACTCGCGCGACAAGCGGTGGAATAAATTTCGCAGTCTCGCGTCTCGCGATCTTCTCGCGATCCTCTCGCGATCTCTCCCGAAAGGAACACGGCTCTTATTGTGCCGTGCGTTCAAGATAAATATGGCATAATGCCGCGTGTAACAACGCAACGGTACTCGCAGCGCGCGCGCGCGCGCAACGCTCTCGGAGGAAAGAAAGTCTTCAAAAGGGCAAGAGCAGACTCGCGCTCGCGCTCGCGCGCGCTTTCCCATGTCGAATGACGGGAGCATTCAACACGGGATTATCTGCAGACGTCAGCGTTATCTATAGAAAGCAGCAGCACGTTTCTCCTCTGAACGACGATGATCTTGACAAAAGGAGGTAGCGGAAAGCTGCGAGTTATATGCGCCCGCTGTGACTCAAAAAGGATCGTATTGTCGCTTGAATTACACGCTTCAAACGCCAACAATATCCACGTGCTTAGCCGCATCGTCGTCGCAGAGCTACCTCGCGTTACTCCGCGCGCGCGCGCGCGCGCTTTCTGCTCTGGTTATATTTCTACCGTCCCTTGCTTGGCTTTCTTTCCACATCGTCGTACCGGTATTTTCTTCTCTTTTCACTTCTACACGAATAGAAGCACGGTTGAACGGCTATTAATTAGAAGTTGCGATGGGGTGAATTCTTGAAATATCGTGCGATTCCGGATATCTTTCCTCTGTTTTGTCTCTGCGAGTGATAAAGCGGAGCAGAAGAAGAATACGAGCCGTGTAGAAGAGATACACCAACGTTGCGAGAGAGAGAGAGAGAGGGGGGGGAGAGAGAGAGAGAGAGAGAGAGCGAGCCAACGTTTTTGATCGTACATGTAATTTTCAGCGCGAGAGAAAGTTGATTGACGTCTCAAATGCACCGTTTTCAGTCGGTCGGTAAATCAACCGATAAAACCGAGGTGCGAACGACCACTCGTTGGAAGCGGGGCAGCCTCGGCTTCCGAACGCAATTTATTTCACGTCTCTGCGACTTTGTCACGCGGAGATATCGACGAGTGCTTCTCGAATCTCGATTAGGCAGCCAGGTCCGCCGCAACAATGTTGCGTGCCGCTGGATCTCTCGAGTCGAGTGCGCCGCGTCGGAGCGAGAGGTGATGCCGGCGCGAACGTACTACAATGTAACCGGGCGCGACGCCGACAAAATCCGCACGGGCGCCTTTGAACACTTCAAACCCTTCGAACGAGCGTATCTCGACGGGAAATCGGCGCGCGAGCCTGAAATAAACGCCATTCTTCTCGGCGTCTCACGCGAGACGTGGTGTTTATGCTCGTCGCATGTGCCCCTGTCATGACACGTGTATTATTATTACGACACATGGCACTCGCATATTGTTGCGCAGAGGTGCCTTATCTCTTCGTATCTTCAAACGCGGAACTTGAGACTTTCGGCAGTCTTTATCGAGCGCGCGCGTAAAGTACGAAGATTCGCGCGAAGTTCGCCGGAGAAATCTTGTGCGGAGATATCTCCTCCCGCGTAACCCGTGCATTTTTCTCAGATGGTACGCGCGCGCGCGCGCGCGATTTCGAGACCTCGGCCACTATCACGAGCAACGTCGAGCTCTGCGCGATAAATTCATCCTTGGCTGATGTATGGTTGCGAATGTTCGCTCGCCAAGAATTAGCTATCGAGTTGTCATCCGACTGCAATCTAATGCTGAGCCAATGCTGGCTGCCGGTATCGGGCCGATATCGAAAATCCGGCAACCGGTTATGGCCACAGGATCGACCATAAAACTATATGAGAGAGAGAGAGAGAGAGAAAGAGAGAGAGATCAAAATGCGATACATCTATTGTGCAGGATATGCCTGACCTAACTAGTCGATTTCCACTTTTAACTTATGACTACAGAACACGATTCGCTTCCAGCCAAACTGTCGAATCAAATCAGCATTTGCAATTAAATTGCGGGTGCGTCCAAATCAAAGTCTCTGGCAATAAAAAGTCTCTGCCATTTAGTGCGTGCTAGAGTGATAAAACGTTGCTGGATACAGATTAAAGTGAAAAAAAATATAATCATTTCCACTATAAGATGCAAGCATCATTCCCTCTTCAGTTTTACCTCCAATGGTTTTCATGCACAATTTTCAATGGAAGAAACTACACCAATACATCCGAGAGGGCGCTCGGCGCTGCTCTGGTAGCGTTCAAATCGAACGCAGACATAATCGTTCCGCAATTTGTTTGTGTGACGAACGCTTGCTCGGCGAGAGGAGGCCTTTCTTTTCAATCGCTCGCGCGACTCTAACGCACATCCTACGTCGGGCAAAAGCTCCGCTTTTGCCGAGGAGGAGGAGGAGGAGGAAAGAGAAGGTCGATCCCGGGCCGGTGAGAAAATCCGTAGATAAAAAGTGGCTCGACGGCGCGGCGGGGAAAGGCCCCCCCTCCGTCCCGTATAATATACATTAATATACGGTGCGGCGCGTACGTACTCGCGTGTCTCCCTCGGCCTTCGTGTCGCTTGAGAGGCATATCACACATTGAGAGGACGTGA